ACTCCAAGTATTGAGAGCCCGATCTGCCCGTTAGCTTTGCCTCTCAAACACAAGGGGGGGAAAACCTAATTCCTAACACCCTCGCATCACCCAATCACCCTGTCAGCTCCCTGAACCATGGCCTGTTGTAACAGCAGCCAGAACTGGCAGAAACAGTCAGAGTTCAGATGATGTCAGCCAAAGGAAAGCTGTGGGAGTCAGGAGGAGGAACACCTGACTCCACCGGCCAATCAGCAAAGGTTCAGAAACCGGGGCTGGGGGGGAAGGAGTGAGATGCATGAACGCCACTCACGCTGGGATCATAGCCCAGACCCAGGTCCTGGCCCAGCCCAGAGACATGAGAGTCCAGGGCCAGACAGGGACAGGACGCACCATCACACCTAGAGAGTTCTAGCCAACTTGGAACAAGCCTAAGATTGCAGGTTGATGTCTGTGCTTGGTTCTGGAATTTTGTGCTCCCCACACTGTATCGTAACAAGTCCATCCCAGCCTGAATCCAAACTACAGGAGCTATGGTAGAGGAGACCCTGCGAGGCAGAAGTGATCCTGGCTCCATTCTAGACCCTTTTGGGGGAAGTTCTCAGTGAGAAGAGAAGCTCTGAGAACCTGACTTGCCCTGGGAGGAAGGAAGAGCTATGGATCTTCACTCAACCCATGGCTGTCCGAGGTCAGTTGCTCTGGAAACAAAGAGTCACTTTGAAGCCATTGGATCATGCTCTACTCCACCCCAAACCCCACAGTACGCAGAGTCCAGCAGCAAGGTCAAGCTGGAGCTGGGGTCACGCCTGAGACCACCCGTCTCTTAGCACAACTGCAGCAGAAGCCCTCAGGAGCTGGGCGCAGCCTGCCCTGGTAGGGCCCATGTTTCTCCTGCTCTGGGTATGGCAGCTAAGAACACAGCCCCTGGGTTCCAGATAAAATAATGGGAAAACTAGGAGCTCAGGATTGTCAGCAGCCCACTGTTAGACATACCCAGAAACCCCAAGTCATCAGGGAAGGTGGGTCACACTCACCTACATTCTCTCTGTAACCTGTGCAGCCACCCAGAAAGAACACAGCCCTGGAGTCTGCTGGGCAGGACTGGGTCCTGACACTGCCTCTGGGCCAGCAGGCTCTGGATGGTCCAGCACGTCTCTAAGTCTTTTTACCCAGCAGTAGGAATGAACACACTCCTCATTCACAGGGGCCTGCAAAGCCCTAGCACACTGAAAATGGCCACGGGACCTTCATTCCCCCATGGTCAGCCGTCCCCTCCTCCTGTCCCTCATCTGGCACTGCCCAGTTTCCTCCACTTCCTCAGTGTGCTAAGCGCTCAGCCAAGGAGGGGTTTGAAGGTGGTTTGGCTCTGTCCTCCAGCTCAAAGGGATATGGCACACTCCAGAGTACGAAGAGATGACGAGTCTGAGGGAGTGCTCTGGACTTGGGGGGGGGGGGTTCGGTCAGGGGTGTGGCATGTGCAAAGGCCCAGGGACAGGAGTCCCGTCTTTCCTTCCTCTCTAACTGCTGGAATGAGATGTCAAAATGCAAATCCACAGTCATGAGACAAAAGATCCCTGTGCCACCAGGGGAGCCACGGCCTTGGACTTTCCTCTCGGGACAGGCTGTGGTCATTTAAATGGTCTCTATGTTTGTTCATAGGCATCTGGGAGTGAGGCGCTACAAGATGGCGGTATTTCTGCACCAAGCTATTCCCGAGTGTGTGTGAGCAAGGACCCCAGCGAAGCCTCCCGGCCAAGAAAGACGTCCAAACCACAGATCCTTTAGAGGCCACCCTCAAAGAGAGGATGTGGCTACAGGAAAAACAGCACCTTGCGGCCCCTCACCCACAATTCATCAAGATCACAGCTCAGGGCCCCGCACAGTCTCCTGAAGCAGGGCGCTGGTTGCCGACTTCACACACAGGAACCTTCTCGTCTTGGTCACAGCCGCCGATGTGGTTGTAGGGAGCTTTCAAGGCCTCAGTGCTTCACTGACTGCTGGCTGGACCATTTGATTTCTGTTCTAAATGAAATTCTCAACAAGTGGTTCTAAACTGACAGCTCATTTCCCCCAGAGGAGGTGTGAGTAAGAGGGCAGGCCAAGAAGGAAACAGATTGAGATGGGTTGCAGCTCAGTTGGTAGAGTGCTTGCCTGGTCTGCACAAAGCCCCAGGTTCAATCCCCAGCACCACATAATGCAAGCGTGATGGCACAGGTCTGTAATCCCAGCACTTGGGAGATGAATATAGGAGGATCAGAAGTTTGAGGTCGTATCCAGCTATGTAATGAGTTTGAGGCAAGCCTGGGATACATGTGACTGTGCCTTAAGGAGGAGAAGGAGGAGGGGGATGAGGAGGGGGAGGGGGAGGGGGAGGGGGAGGGGGAGAGGGGAGGGGGAGGAGGAGGAGAGGGAAGAGGGGGAGGGGGAAGAGAGGAAGGAGGAGGAGGGGGAGGAGGAGGAGGGGGAGGAGGGGGAGGAGGAGGGGGAGGAGGAGAGGGAGGAGGAGAGGGAGATGAGGGGGAGGAGGGGGAGGAGGAGGAGGAGGAGGAGGAGGAGGAGGAGGAGGAGGGATTTCAATTCACACACAGGGGAGGGAACTGAACAGCACCATGGATGGGTTCCTGGAGGTGACAACTGTGGTTGTTATTTTTATGTCAACTTCACACAAGCTAGAGTAAGCTGAACGGAGGGAAACTCAGTTGAAAAAAAATGACTCCATAAGATCCAGCTGTAGGCCATTTTTTTAACTAGTGGTTGATGGTGGAGGACCCAGCCCTTTGTGAGTGGCGCCATCTGTGGGCTGGAGGTCCTGAGTTCTATGAGAAAGCAGGCTGACCAAGCCACAAGGAACAAACCAGTAAGCAACACCCATCCATGGCCTCTGCATCAGCTCCTGCCCTGTTTGAGTTCCTGTCCCGACTTCTTTCAATAATGAAGAGCGATATAGAAGTGTCAGCCAGGGCTGGAGAGATGGCTCAGAGGTTAAGAGCACTGACTGCTCTTCCAGGGGTCCTGAGTTCAATTCCCAGCAACCACATGGTGGCTCACAACCATCTACAATTCAATCTGGTGCCCTCTTCTGGCATGTAGGCTGAACACTGTATATGCAATAAATAAATAAATAAATCTTTAAAAAAATAAAAAAAGAAGTGTAGGCCAGATAAACCCTTTCCTCCCCAGCTTGCTCATGGTCATGGTGTTTCATCACAGCAACAGAAACCCTGACTAAGAGAGCAGCCATGTGAGCCTTGAGTGAAGGCTCTCTCACACAGCATGGTTTTGGCATGTCCATGCCTGCCTAGCACCAGCTAGCAATAGATCCCTAGTGACAGATCCAGGTCAATGTTCCTTCCATGTGGCATCTGGTGGGAAGATGCCCCATCCATAGGGTCAGGGAAGGCTGGACCCTGGCCCAAAGCTTACTGAGGCTCTGAGTGTCTGACCTTTCCCATCAGCCCAGTGATGGAAACATGTGGAGTGAGGTGCTGGGGTAAGAGAGAGGTCGAGGAGCCCACCCTACCCAGTGTCCCCTGTGCATGGGGAAAGCACCCCCCCACTCGCAACATCAGTATAGTATGTTATCCCTGGGTTATCCAGAGAGGACCACACTGGATCCACCATCACTCGGGACTGGACCTGAGTCCTGGTCTTCTCCGGAGATGCTGGAGACTAGAGCGTGAAAAGAAAAGAGCCAAGGGGGCTCCTGGGTGGAGCATGGCTGGAACGGGGGGGGGGGGGTTGTGATGGTGATGGCCAGGATGGCGCACTGTGATCAAACTATCAGACGTAAGAGAGGGATCAGGAGCAGGCAGAGAGTCAGACAGAGGCCGCGGCTGGGAAAATTCTGGGATGTGACAGGCTAAACACAGGAAGGTCAGGGAAGGCTGGCTGGCCGCAGTGGAACAAATCAGAATGTCAGCACCAGCAGGACTCCTGACTGCTCCCCACCCCCGCATCTGCAAGGAGGAGTACAAATGCCTCATCCTCAGGTGTTCAGGCCTGGCCCTGAAGATAAGGAGGCTCTGCCAAGCAGACAGGAACAACGTGTGGTCCAGCCTGGCCCTGCTGCCCTGAGGAGACCAGACCCCACCCTGTCTGAAGAACTGGGACCCACCTAGGGCTATGTACTGTGGAGGTTCCTCAAGGTAGCTTCAGTTTTCCCGTGAGGAGACTCGAGGAGGCATGAACCCACTTTTCTATTCCCCAAAGACAGACTAGCTGCTCCTTGGCAGTGTGTGCCTCGGAAGCAGAGCACTGACTCACCACGCCCGTCAGGCCCCAGGACACAGCCTGTGGGGACCCTGCTTCCAGATCCCTTTCAGGGTGGACGTGGCCCCGGAGACCTTTGCTAAGTGGACGTCCACTGTGTCCTCTCTCTCCTCTAGGGGTCAGGAGGCAGACACCCCCTCCTCTGCAAATTTCAGTGTTCCTTTGGGCTTTTGGAAACAAAAGTCAGGAAGTCTTGACAAAGCCACTCACCTCCCTGAGACAAGCAGGCAGAAACCAGCTAAAGAGCGTGGAGGGGGGAGGAGAAATACTCCCCCACACATGTATGACCCACAAAGGGGATGAAGGCGAGGTGCTGCCGTGAACAGGGGACCCGGCACCACGGAACACGGCACAGCGGCCCTCACAACAGGGCCAGCCGGGCTTTTCCACTGACCCCGTGACCCCACGTGGGTGATACATGTGGGAGAAGGGAAAGTGGGAACTGACCAGAGATGTCTACATCTGCATCTGCAGCAGCTCAGCAAACGGTGGCTGCAAACCTTGTGTCTGTCAACAGTGAGGAGTCAGTGGACGCTGACCTTCAGGGAAATGCTCCTCGGCCTCCGTCAACCTCAGGGTAGGATGCCAAAAGGGGCAACGCTGTGATTCCGCTTTGTGAGGTGCTTAGAAAATCTACAAGAGGGGGCCCTCGGGGGCTGGGTGTTACGCAGATGGATCCCCAGAATTGAAACTCTGTCTGGAGGACTCAGAAGTCAATAATTTACAAGTCCCAAATGCACAAGGGTGGGGCCTCCCCAAGACTATGTAAGCTGTAAGGACTGGGGTGGCAGAGCAGGGGCAATTCTGGGGCGGGTCAAGCTGCAGAGAGCTCTGGAGTTCCGGTTGTGGCGAGCTGGTGGCTTTTGATGATACAGCTGCCTTTCAGCTGTCCACATCCCTGTGAATAACCCCAAGGAACTGACTCAACAATTCGGACTTTAGCTTGGCAGAGGTTCCCTGTCTGGGGTAAGTAGACATTTGTTCTAGTCTCCCAGGGATAGTGTCAACAACACTGGGGGAGGAAATGGGTAGCTAGTGTTTGAGAGGGTGCAGAGTCTCCATTTGGAAAACTTAAAGGTTTTGTGTGGATAGCAGCAAAGGCATAACAGCACCATGAATATATTTGGTGCAGTGATTAAGATGATTAAAATATCTAAGATGGTACATACCGTTGTGTTAAGTATATTTTAATACAATAAAGCTACATATGGTTAAATTGTTTTTGTCCTTTAAGATGGGATTTCATGTATTCCCAGGTTGGTCTCAAACTCACTATATTGCTAAAGACGGTCTTGAACTCTCAGTTCTCAAGTCAGCACATTTCAAGTGCTGGGATTACATGCGTGCCCCCACACCTGTTTCATGTGGCGATGGGGATTGAAGACGTGGCCAAAGATGTAGGGAATTTCCTAAAGACTGGGCTTTGAGGCTTGACGAGGGCGAATCAGCTCAGGAAGGCCCCGCAGAGGAAGGGGATGGGGAACAGAGCAGCTTCGGGTGAATTTCCATTGAATCGTGGGTAAGGACAGTGTCCCCTGGCAGGCATCACACATGTCCTAGGAGCCATCAGAGTCATGCCATACAACTACAGAGTGACAAGAATGATACCAGATGCCGTGTCGCCTTGATGTCACGCACCCCAGGCTCAGACTGAGAAGGGCTTGTAGGACAACAAGCCGCCTGCAGCAGGGCCTGGGCCACGTGGACAGACATGGCCACCTCTGCAGCTATCTGGGCAGGTCACTTCTGCTCTCTCAAGGCTGGCAGGACAGTCAGCTAAACCCAAACGTCAGGTGGGTAACAAATGGCTTGTCAGTTTTGTATCTCTGACTGCATGAGACACACTTGTGATTAACTGGAGTGTCGCTTGTTTTCTTTTCCAGTACTGAGGGTGGAACCCAGGGCTCTATGTATGCCGGGCAAGCACTCTGTGGCTGACCTCACCCCCAGCTCCTATTTGAAATCCATTTGGAATAGGGTAGCCTGGCTTTGTTCTCCTGCCCTTATTTGGAAGGGGTGGCTGCTGCCTTCCCAGTCCCTCTCCTTCTCATCCGGCAGGGATTCCCATCTTGCCCTCCTCCAGACCACGCTGCTAGAAAGATGGACCAACAGTCACTCCTCCACCCCATCATCTAAGATGACCTTGCTTCTGTCTGTTGTCTGTCCCTTGCTCTGAGAGGCAGGCTCCATCTGTCCCTCCCATCTGACGCGGTCACTTCCACAAGCAGGGCACCTGTTGCTATATCCCCAGAGCCTAGCACAGGTCTGACACACAGTAGGCACTCAGCTAGTATTAACTGAAAGATGCCAAGACTGTCTCTATAAGCGAGCTGCCTAGTGCAGGGGGGAAGAGGGAGGTAAGCATGAGGGGGTGGGCTGTGCCCCTACTGTCTTACTGTCTGCCCCCCAGCCTCTCACACTGGCCACTGGTCCCCTCTTTTCTGAGATGCAGAGTTGACAAAGGGTGGCTGGAACACAAGTCTGTCCTCACCCTACCCCACAAGCCCAGCCTCTGGTCCACACATTCCCATGGCAGCACGGTTACCATGGCAACAGCAACCAGAGGTCACAGCACTGTAAACCAGAGGATGCCTGCCCTCCTGGAACACCACCACTGAGGTAGAATCTAATTTTCATCACAGCCATAATACTGGTTTTGCATAATGGTACATATATTAATACCTAACACGCCTGTGTTTATTTGGTTAAAATTCATGAATTCGGGTCTAAATAAGAAGTGCTGATGGTTGAAGTTTGTCACTCTCTTAAAACGTTCTTAGACTGTTGTTTTAAGCCAAACTCTCCTTGGAAGCTCCTGGCTTCTAATCCCACTGCTAATGGGTAGAGACGGAAACAGAGTTGGGACAAGATGAAGGTGACACTCAGCCAGGCACTAGACCTGCCCAGGCCTCAGGTCTGCCCACCCCTGCCAGAGTGGGTGGAGTCACATACCACTCACCTGTCAATCAGTCTCCTTGCTGGGGTGGGAGGGGCTGAGGCAGGACCTACTGGCTGCTTTGCTGCGGCCCTAGCAGCTGCCGTTGCTCTCCCTCTTCCTCCCCCTGACCAATAAACGTGTGGCAGGAAGACATCACATCGGCTGTTACCCTGGCAGCTCAATGGGCTGGTCCTGCACTCGTACATGGCTTTCTGCATCTGCCGCCCGCAGAGGGAGGGAGCAGGCAGACGGTGGAGGCCCTTGAGATGATATGGAACCGAAAGGAGCGTTAGAGGTGGAGAGAGAGATACAGTGGCACACGGCGACTGTCTGTCCACAACCCCACACGTGGGACCTCAACAAGACGAGTCCTGGCAGGCCTACATGTCTACTGCCCCAACTAGCCAGTTCCTCATTCTCCCCTCAGCCCACACAGTCCTTGCCACCTGGAGTGCTGGCCCTAAAGGTGGGTGTGCTGCCACCAACCCTCCCTGGCCAGATAGCCACACCTCCTTGTCCCTGTTTGTTCCTCCTCCCTTCATCACCCATACATCCAGCTACCCATACAAATGCCACCTGACGCCCACCTGGTCCAGGCCAGAGCTGTCCTCCAAGGCACAGAAACAAAGCCCTCTGGGAGCCCCAGCTGCGCATGGGGGAAGCCTGGGAAGTGAATCCCAGCACTTGAGATTCCATCGTAGCATGGCAGTACCCACACAAGTCAGATGGCGAAGACATAGAGAGCCCTGCATTAGTCTAACAGGTCTCCCTGAATCTGGAACACAGGACTCAAGGGGCAGAGAGGGCTACCCAGGAGAGGGGAGCTAGAAGAGGGGTGCAGGGGACACGGGCAGAAGGGGCCAGGGTTGTATCTCAGGGCTGTGAGGCCGAGGTGGGGGGGGGGCAGGTCTGGGGAGGGTGTGACAGCCCAAGGCCATCGGGGATGAAGGGACCGGAGTGGGCGGCAGTGATGAGAGGTGGAGTAAAGCTACTCCGGAGAGACGCTGGCTCGGCCATGGGCTAGCATCAGAGGAGGTGGAGGGAGGCATTAAGGCCCCGCTCAGAGTCCCAGGAGCCTCACCAATGGGTGTGCTTCCTGAAGCCGAGGACCGGAGAGGGGCAGGGGAGCGGAGGGAAAGCGGAAGCTCATCAGAGGCCCCCAGAGACCATCCAGAGCAGTCGTCTGCAGGTCTGTGATTATGGTGTCTCCCAGGCATGGTACCTACATCAGGGAGGTGCCCCAGGAACGAGGCTCAGCTTGGGGGAACTGGTCACACATCCCAAGAGCTCATACTTGGGCTCAGGGCCCAGCCTGCTCTAAAGAGTGCCTTGCTTTGTTTCATCTGTGAAATGGGGGTAAGGCTCCTTCTGGACCAAGCTAAAGCCAGGCCTGTTAGCTTGAGGCATTGAGGCAGGCATATGCGTCTGCACACCCATGCACAGGCTCACACATGCACACACTGTCAGCCACCACATGTGTACACAGATCCTCAAACAGGCAAACACACGTTTACCTACACACATACCAAGCCTGGCCCTGCAATGAGGCAGATGCCTGAAGCAGGGAAGGCCGTTAGAGGGGCTCCAATGTCCTCACTGGTTTGAGAGCAAGTCTGGTGGTCCGGGTGGCAGTGAGCCACACATCTCAGCCTTTGCTCCTCCCACCCCACCCCACCCCACCCCAGTCACAATACACTAGTTTCTGTTGTTTCCAAAAGTTGCCAGAATCAAGGGATAGGAAACCCCAGAGATGCAGAGACCAAGGGTACTAACGAGATAGGATGGACCAGGGGTCCTGGTCTGGGTCACCCTACCTCCAGAGTCCTCAGGGGCCATCCTGGTGCCCCCCAGGTCTTTATGAGCCCCTAAGGGAAGAGCATGTGCTGGGATACAGAATTCTCAAAAGACAGGTGTCCACCCTGTCCCTCAGCCTGCCAGCTTGGCTGTTCCTGTGTTCCCAGCTGGCAACATCTGACCAGTCCATCAGAGGCCCCATGGCTCCTGTTGAAGGTAAAGATCAGAAGCCACTGTTCCCAGAAGCTTGTCAGGAGGGCAGGACACAGATGTTACATCACAGCTATGTTTCAGCAGCCACCTCTGCCCTGAATCCCAGAGTGAGCACGGGGTCAGGACTGGCCAGTACCAGCACAGTGTCTCTGTGGCATGGTGTGCTCCCCAGTCAACACTGAGGAAAGCTAAGTGAGGATCTTGCCCTAGGGTGTGGCCAGGCTTCCCATAGAGAGGTGCTAGAGGGATGGGGCAGCTCAAGCCTGGGACTGTTTGTGGCCTCAGAGAGGAAAACACAAACCCAGAAACAACAAGGTCAGGAGGTAGAGAGGCTGTGTCCTATTGACTTGGCTGAAGCCTTTGATTGAGCCACACCTGAAGCCAACACTATGTCTTGGATTCTTAAAATCTAGAACCACTAAATTATTTCCATCTGTGTCCTTGGTTCCCTCTCACTTCTTTCTTTTCTTCTCTTGTGCTCTTTTATTCTTTAAGATTTTTATGAGTATACATGTGTATCTGCATGAGTTTATGTGCACCATGAGCATGCAGTACCCACATAGACCAGTAGAGGGTGTTGGGACCCCTGGAACTGGAGTTGCAGGCACTTGTGAGCCACCTGAGAGCCACCTGACGTGTGTGCTGGGAACTGAACCACAGGCTTCTACAAGAGCAGTGTAGTGCTTTGAACAGGGACAGTCTGAGAGGCTCGTGTATTTGAGTGCTTGATCATTAGGGAGTGGCACTACTTGAGAATGATTAGGGGCTGTGGTCTCATTGAAGGAAGTGTGTCACTGGGGCTGGACTTTGAGGTTTCAAAAACCCAAGCCAGGCCCAGGGCCACTCTCTCTTCCTGCTGCCTGAATACCCAGATGTAGAATTCTCAGCTCCTTCTCCAGCACCGTGTCTGCCTGTGTGCTGCTATGGTTCCCACCATGAGAACAATGTTCTAAACCTCTGAAACTGTAAGGCAGCCCCAATGAAATCCTCTCTGTTGTCAGAGTTGCCGTGGCCATGGGGTCTCTTCACAGCAATAGAATAGTGGCCAAGGCAAGCAGCAGGCACTCTTTCTCTCTGAGCCGTCTCTCCAGCCCCCATCTTTTGCTCTTAAACCCATTTGAGTAAGGCTTTGTTCTTTGCAGCTGTAAGTCCTCATAATACCAAATCAATGAATCCAGGATCTAGTGTCAAGGGTTAGCAGCCCTGAAGTCCCAGCCAGACCCTGATTCTCTGAATCCCCCAAAACCCCAGATCCCACAGCTGCAGCATGAAGACGTCATCACTCTTCCCTTGGGGTGGGGATGGCACAATCCCAACCCTGCAGGGAAGGAAAAGACATAGAGAAAGTCCTCAGTAGTTTCTAAGGTTTTATTCAAAACAACGCTGGCTGGCGGTTCGGCTTGGTTTCTCTACGCCCGGGCCATCTGGGCCAGCAGGGACCAGCGCCTTCAGCGACTAAGAGGGGAAAGTTCATTCACACTGTAGAAACTGTACAGTGACCAGAAGTTAGAGCCACAGCAGCAGGACTGGGCTGGGGGCTTACAGGACAAGGTGGCCGCTGCCTCCCCCAGGCCCCAGCTCTGCCAGGGACACCGATTATTGCACAATGACGAAAAGAAAAAGAAAAGAGTATGTGTGTCTGGGTTAAACAGCAACTTCTAAGATCCCAAGCCCTTACACAGAGTAGCAAAAGGAGCTGGAGGTGCCTCTGGTTGCTGGGAGCTCTAAGAGAAACATTGGGGACAAGTACTGCTCGCGGTTCACCCTCCTCAGAGCGACTGCCTGAACCAGAGCAGGAGATAGCAAGAAGGCAGGGGAGGCTCTCTCTGGCTCCAGACCCTGCTCTGCAGATGCAACACAGCCTGGCAAATTAACAGCTTAGGACATTGGTACCTGTGTCCCCATCCTCCTCACATCCAGACCCTTGTGGATTGGGGGAGTTTGTGCTTTGGTGATGGACAGGCTTGGCCTGAGGCCACAGCCCCAAGCCACAGTGTTGAGGGGTCACCCACCCAATCCTTGCCCATTACAACTCATCTTGACAGCAGCTCACAGCTCTCCCGGTCCCTGACTCCCTGCTCACGGACACAAGGCCGGATACCTAGGATTGGGCCTAGAGAGCCCACCCCAGGTAGTCTCTGTGCTTCTGGGCTCAGCTAATCATTCTGTATAGACGTGCGTCCCTTGCTTAAACCTTGCCCATTTCCCTAAAACACCCTTCAGCATGTCTGCTTGCTCTGGGGCCCCGCAGTCCAGTGTAAGGGTGCAGACGCCTGAGCACCTCTGCTCAGCCTCAGAGCCACGGCAGGGAGGACGCTGGCTGTGGAGGAGCCGCATAAGCACACACAGGGGCGCCCTCAGGATTGAGCTGGACCCGGAGAGCAGAGGGTGCTAGACGCTGTCAAACGCCACCTCTGTAAAGCCCGAAGACTGTGGGCCCGGCCCTGCCCTCTACACCACGGCCAGCTCCACACTGCGCCCTTGGAGCCACCCTCCCTTCAACCACGGGTGCTCAGGCTAGGGCCCTTCGCAGGTGGCCAGGGCAGAATCGCTGCTTCACTTGCCCAGAGCCTCAGTTTACCCAGGTGTAAAATGGGTTTAACAACCACTTTCCCACTCCTCACCTCAAAGAAGGGCTTTGCAGGCAGCACCCCTTCAACATCTCTTTCCTCCTTACTTCTCCACTGTGCCCTGACCTTGGGGTCCCTGTGCCAGAGCCTACCAACACAGCTGCTGCTCACTAGCCTGGATAGAGGCCCACTTCTGTGGAATCAGGATTTGGGAGCAGGGACACACATGCTCTTAGCAGGGCCCAGGGCAACCCTTGGCGAGCTGGGCGAGCATCCCACATCACTGCCCTTCCCAGTGGGCCACCACCCCCAGCATGCCTCACTCGTCTTCAAGCTGATTTTTTGTTTGGTTGGTTTTCGAGGCAGGGTTTCTCTGTATTGTTTTGGAGGCTGTCCTGGAACTCACTCTGTAGACCAGGCTGGCCTCGAACTCACAGAGATCTGCCTGCCTCTGCCTCCCGAGTGCTGGGACTAAAGGCGTGTGCCACCAACGCCCAGCTCAAACTGATTTTAAACCCACCCTCTCTAGAGCTGAGCTTGTGAAAGGCACAGGCTCGATACAGTCTGTTTTGTTGTTGTTGTTGTTTTTAATAAATGGGTAACCATTCCAATAAAATAAGAACTCCCGTCCTGAGCTCATCCAGGAAGCACTGCCATAGTGAGACCCTACCTGCAGCTTTAAGCAGTAAGACACACTCAGGGGTAAGCAGAAGGCAGAGGACGTGAATGTCTGGGTAACTGGCTGGAGACTACGGGCGCTGAGGTGTGGAAAGGCTGCAGCCAGGGTTTAGGGCTGCTCAGAGCTCCCTTTAGATTTGCTGTTACCCCAAACACCCCTGGGGCAGGGATGAGCTTGCTCGGGGTGGGTGACTGTAATCCCCAGGTCTGCTGCAATTCGAGGACTTCACAGAGGATAAAAGACTGAAAGTTCTCGTGCGACTGGCGGCCCGAGCATGGGGAATCTGGGTGAGCCAAGCAGGTCCCATGGACCCCTTCACCCATCCCCTCTCATGCATGAATTATTCCTGTTTGCTGCCTTCCTGGGGGGGGTTTGAACTGTCCCCAAAATGCTCACACAAATCAAAACATAACCTGTGTCCTAAGCCCCCTGCCCAGTCTCAGAACTGCCCTGTTCCCCCAACCCTGCTCTAAGAAATAAGACTAAAATCCCCCCTGGTTTTTCTAAAGAGAACATCTAGCTGGCTAACTAAGAAAGTTTGTGTGTCAAGAGTGTCTACAAAAGACTTCACAACAACACAATAGTCAGAGGGACAAGACTGACACCCCGACATGTGGGTAGAGGTTGGGGATCTTAGCAGCGTCTTGTCTTTAAAAGGGAAAAAAGTGCACCCTGAATTGCTTCTCTTCTGTCTCCTGGGCCCTGAACATCCTCCCAAGCTGCTCTCAACTCGGGGAGATCCCGAAACGACATCCACTGATGCCCCACTAGGAGCGTCTGTGCTGTGAGGGCCTGTGTGCTAACCAACAGCCGAGACCCCTGTCTGGGCCCTGGCCTGCACCCTCAACTTTAGCACTTTCTAGGATTCATAAGCTCTCAGTAAAAAAAATAAATAAATATATGTCTGTCTATGTATATATATATGTATATGTATATATCTGCATATGCACTGGAAGGGCCACGGGTGGGGCCACACACGAGCCTCAGCTAACCCAGACCCTCTTCAGTCGCCTGCCCAGTGGCCTGGCGCTGGCTGGCCCCTATGCCACTCCCAGGTGTAGGCAAAGTATTGCTGTCTGCTCCCTGGCTCCTGAGGTAAAAGAAGGCAAGATGGGGCGGGCGGGCGGACAGCAGGTGGCAGCTCCCCCCGCAGCCCCCGCAGCCTCTCATCTCTTCCTCTTGCTTGCCGCATCAGCTGACTCCAGCTCCCCAGGAGGTGGTTGTGGCTCAGGGGCTGAGGAGCCCAAGCCCGAAGCCAGCTGGACCTGGCCTGGTGGGTCCTTGCTGCGGTCTGCAGCCCATGAGGGGCTCCTGGCCAAGCCTCCGGCTGAGACAGTGGCGCCAGGGCGCCCGGGTCCAGCCGCCAGGCTGCTGGTACTGCTGAACTTCCTGGCAGGGGTGAGGCCCGGGGGTGGCAGCGTGGGCGGTGGGCAGAAGAGCGACGTGAGTGACAGGCTGCTGAGGGTCTCAGAGTGCTCACTGCCTGCACCCCCGCCACCTGTGCCCCCGCGGCCCTCCTCATCGGAGGGGTCCATGGAGTCGTGGTGGGTGCAGCCGGGGCTGGTGGAGCCGCCGCTGCTGTGGCTGCGCTGATGGGCCCGCAGGCCACGCAGACTAAACAGGCCGCGGCCCCGCAGGCTGAGACGGCGCCGGGTGGTTGGCGACAGGCCAGCTCGTGGCCCTGGCACCTGGACTGGTGGTCCCAGGCCACGCCGGGGACTGTCACTCAGTGTCAGACTGTCCTCCAGTGTGGTCTGCAGGCTGCCGGCTGAGCTGCTCGGGCTGGCATCCAGGGATGTGTCACTCACAGTAGCCTGCAGGGAGGAAAGAAGGGTTGAGGCTCCCTGCATCACCTCCTTTCCCTGGTCCTTGGCGGACAGTCTGATGACAGGACCCGGGATGCTTCCCTTCTGGGCGGATCCCACAGCATCCCCTCTGTCACAACAGCAACCCCGGGAATCTCTCGGGGCAGTTACCACAGAAGCCTCCGGCAGGCTCCTTATCGCCCCTGGACAGCCTGAGCCGTCTTTCCTAGTCCCGATGCTAACCCTCTCGTAGTTGCCAGCTGACTCTCATCCACCCGCGCCTCCAGCATTACTTTCCCTTCGACCTGCTCCCAGGAGCCCTGCCTCATCCCAGATGCTCGCATCCTCTCTCCTGGGTAAGCCTCCAGCCAGCCATTCCTCACCTCCCCAGAGATTATACTGCCAGCAGCACTCATTTGCTTGGCTATCTTTCCTTCTGCAACACGCATGCACGTGTGCGCGCACACACGCACGCACACACAGACACACACTTTAAACCCTGAACTGCCCTCCATGGGAGGCAAGGAGTCAAGGTCCATGACCTGTTGCAGAGCACAGCCTAGTGAAACCAGGAATTAACCCTGTCTGGCTAAGTAATTACCAGGAAGCCCGCAGGCCAGCCTCCACTGTTGTATAGGATTACACGTGGCCCACCAAAGGTGCTGGTGAATTTTTGTTTTGTGCTCCGGGGGCCCACTGTGCCCAGAAGGCATGGAGGCTGTGGCTCCGTCGTCCTGATACAGGAGACCATACAGCCAAGATTTCCCCCATTTCCCAACCTGCCCCTCTGCAATCAGGCAATCTGCAAGCAGTCTAGCAATGACACCCCTACCACCCACCAAGACGTGGTCCCTGACCCCAGCACCATGTCACCCCACAGACCCTCCTCAGTGCCACGCTTACCCTCGTCTCAAGCTAGGGCCCCCGTTTCAGCTGCCCTGACAACCCAGGTGCTCCTCAGAGGCCGGCCTTGCTCAAGTATTCGTCGTGGTATCCTCTCAAGTCTCAGACGCTCCCAAACTTCCCCAGGCTCGACTGCCCTCCCCGCTCATCCTCCGAGGCTCCAGGACACTCTTCAGAGTCCAGGAGGTGTGTGTACCTGGCGCAGGAGGGTGCAGTTGACACTTGGTGACCTCAGGGATGCCCAGGAGCCCTGAAGGGCGATCTTGGGCAGTGCTCCGGCACTCATGCCCGGTCCCTGTCCCTTCTGGCTGGCAGACACAGCGGGATGGAAGAACTCCACGGGCATCTGCAGGAGAGGGCTGGAGGCATCCGGGGAGAAGGGGCTTGGGGGCGCTGCAGAGGAGGAAGAGGAGGTGCTGGGAACAGCCCAGGAGGTGGGCACAGAGCCCTCACTCGGGGTGCTTAACACTGGCTGTAAGACTCTGGGCAAGACTCCAGTTCGAAGCTATGAGAGCAAGAAACGCTTCTGTGCGATTCCTAGAAGGACTGGATTTGGGCAGAACCCTGCTTTCAGAGCCCACCAGGCCAGACTCCAGGCCAGACTCCTAGGCCTTCTTCCTCTGGAAATGGAGACATACACACCCAGTGGAGGTATGTTGACACTGCCCACTTGACAGGCTCTGGAGTCACCAAAGAGAGGTACTCTGAACTTGTCTGTGAGTTGAGGTGAGAAGACCTACCCTAACTGCGGGTGGCACCATCCCACAGGCTGGGGTCCCAGGACACAAGGGAGACCGTGAGCCGAGCACCAGAGTGCATCTCTCCCTGCTTCCTGCCTGTGGATGCCATGTGACCAGCTGCCCCGAGCTCCTGCCGCCAAGCCTTCCCACCATGGGCTTGCACCCTTGAACTATGGGCCGAAATAAACTCTTCCTTAAGTTGACTTCACCAGGTACTTGGTCACAGCGGTGAGAACAGTAACTGACACCAGGAGGTCTGTAGGGCTAACAGCAGGTATGGAGCTCCCAGGCCAGCACTGTGCACACGGTAGGCACGCTAAGACTCATCATCCCTTGGGCTCTGACAACCCCACATGGCCGAGCTGGGCCTGGGGGCCCCTCCTGGACAATGCAGGGTAGAGTTTCAGTATGTGACAGGCCTTGCTCTGATGGTACCGAAGCTGCTGGGTGAGCCTGGTCTGCTCCACTGTGGATGGAAAGGGACAAGGCCAGGCTGGGGGAACCTGAGGCAGGGCCAGCAGCAGCTGCTCTGCCTGTGGTCCCCTCCACACCTCACAGAAGGAAGAAGGAACACAGGGTTCAGAATATGCGAATAGACAGGCAGCTGTGCGGGCTGCCATCTTGCAAACTGTCAAGTCACTGAAGGGCTGCACAAATTAACCACTAATTGAACACTCCCTCAGAATGTGCCTGGGGTCAGACCCTGGGGTTAAGGTTTTGAGATCAGGAAATCTGGGGTATTGGCATTCCAGTCATCATGCCCAGCAGAGGTCACTGGCTTTACAGAGGGTCTGTGGAAAAGCCAGTCACTCAGACATCCCAGAAGGCATCTTAGGGTGAGTTTGGGGCCTTAGGGCTCACTCTTGCATTGGACTGTCTTCTCCTTTTCCCCCACCCAGCCAGTGATGCCACTCAGATTCTTGTCATCCTCCAAGAGGGAGCCCAAGTGGCAGGCAAGCCAGCTCAGTCCCTTGCCATATCCCTAAACACAAACCAGCCATTCAAGGAGGCGTGGGGTAGAGACCCTTTTATCAAAGGGCCATTGAAAATGTCAACCTTCCAGTCATTGTGTCACCTGTGTGCATATCTGGGTGACAAACGCCTCTCAGATTATTCTCTACCCAAACCCAATGATCCGCAAGCCTCCCTTCTGCCCTGTGCTCAGCAACCTAGTCCCCTGTTCATCACAGAACACAGGGAGCTCGGCACAACGCTTCCGTTAGCCCAGGATTCAGCTATCCTTAGCTCATTGGCCCTGCTCTTTTATCAGTACTGTAGCAGGCCTGAATCTTTCTCTAATTGTCAGAAACCCATTTGGTTCTTTACGGAGGAAAAACAAACCTCCACCACCTCTCTCATGAAGCAGATGTTTGGGATCGGGGTACGGGAAGCTGGAAAGGATCAGTATGGGGAGCTGGAAAGGATCGGGGTACGGGGAGCTGGAAAGGATCAGTATGGGGAGCTGGAAAGGATCGGGGTATGGGGAGCTGGAAAGGATCAGGGTACGGGGAGCTGGAAAGGATCGGGGTACGGGGAGCTGGAAAGGCTGCAACCTCACCTTGGCTGCTCTCATGTTTGAGCCAGGACTGGACAGGGTTGAACGGGATGGCCTCCATCTCACACAGCAGGCTCTCTGGGCCTGCAGACACTGGCGCATTGGCAAAGGGGAAAAAGCATTCATCCAGGTCTCCTGCCTGCAAGGGCTCCGGAGGCTCCAGCTCACCCTGCAGGCAAGGGAGGTAGGTGATCACCTAGTTGAGGAAGACAGAGGCAGGGCCCCCGCATAGCGATCCCATCCCTACCTAGGAAGCCTTTCCTCTGGCCTCCTCCACCTGACCAGCAGTCACCACCTTTCAGTCCCCAAGTTGAAGGTCCTGACCTCTAGGAAGCCCCCCTGGATGCCTCCAGGCAGCTGTGGTTCCCCTGCCCCCTCCCTTCCTGATGTTTAAGGCCTTGAGCACAGCACCTGGTCTCCTTCATATCCATAACCAAATGCTAACTCGGTATAGCAGTCACTCGGGGTGACGGCACCAGAACACAACATGAGGTGGGGCCCTCCCTTTGCTGTAACTCGGTTTCCACATCCATACTTGGGGAGAGGAGTTCTTCCTCTCTCGCCACTGCCTGGGGTCTTGCAGACAGAGCAGAGGGCTGTGGCATCTCTTTCCAGACTTTCTCAGCTCTACAAGTTCTTGATGTCCACTCTGAGGTGTATGGGCTCACGATACCCCAACCTGCAACTTGGTATCTGTGTCTGACACAAGATGTGGCCTCAATTACCTAGACCGTACCCCGCCTGAGCCCAGCCTGGACAGATGCACTGGCATCGCACACATGGAGGGCGATGCAAGAAGACTCCTAGCCACTCACCTTGCTTTCCTTGGGGCCCTGTGGGCAGGCTGTCGGGTCCTCAAGACTCAGGTCATCCCCCAGCAGGACAGACGAGGACCTGTCTGAGTTCAGGGAGAAGGCCTCTGTCTCAGCCAGCTGCACCTGCAGGGGGAGGTGGTGGCCTCGGGTCACCCTGGGGCTGGGATGGGGCAGCCTGGGCCTGGAGCGCTGAGCAACAGGTCCCTGAAAGGACATGGGGCAGTGGTCAGAGCGGTTCACAGGCCTGCTGGGCATGGGTGGTGGGCCCACTCTGCGTAGGATCCCAGCCTGGGTGACACATGGTGGCACAGGAGCCACCCCTGATGGAAGCCAGGTCTGCGTGGGCCACCTTGGCGTCTGAACACTCAAGTAGCCATGACACAGTGAGCTATGGAACTCTGCTGTCCGCTTGCCCCAGGCCAAGTGTCCACAGAGCTGGACTGGGTGTGACCCCTCTGGGGCTGTGAGGGCCACTTGTGCTGTATGTCCCTGCAAGATCTGCTATCCTGAGGGATCCATCTCAGCCATGGGGCAGGAGAACTGAGCGACCTGCGTATTCAGCTCCTGCCCGGGGCTCCTGGGGATGACCTCACGGCCACGGGTCCTAGAATGAACCCAGGAGCACACAGGTGCTGGGGTGTAGGAGGAGCTCTTGGAAACAGCCTGGGAGACGGCCCCTGAGCAGGGCAGGGGGAGGCTGAGCTGCCTCTGCGAGGAGGCCAGAACAAGGCTCACCAGAGTAGTTTTGAGATACTCAGGGGGGACCACGGCCACTGGGGAAGAATAGGCACCAGTGACCCCTCCACCAAGGGCACAACGCCCCAGAAGGGACACAAGGCTCTTGGCTGCCCAGCAGCAGCACGAGGAAGAACAGATATTGCTTCTGCGCACTTTCTATAGCCAAGACGCCAAGGACTCCGGCCTTAGGCCCCACCACAGGGCGGTGCTTCACAGACAAAGCGCTGTGACCAGCAGGACCAGAGTGCTTCTAGGGCCCAGAGCCACAGCTTCCCCCGCACCTCACTCCCAGGTGACTCCCAGCGAGCCAGCTCCTCTCGGGCTGCCAGTACCTCTTGCTTGTCATGGTGACACTTGTCACAGCCAGCAGGTGAGGAGTAGTGGTGGAAGATGGAGCCGGACAGGTTGTCAATGATGGTCAGCTCCCCCTCCAAGGAGTCCTTGATGATTAAAGAGACGCTGTCCAGCCACAGGGTCTCCTAGGCAGATGGGCAGGGTGGGGACAGGTGGGATTATCGGCTGGGTCCCTGGACATTAGGTGAGGCACAGCTGCCCTCCCATTCTCGGTGCCCACAGCCTGGGACTGAGCCTCTCATCCAAGGAGCGCCCTACCTTAGAGAAGAACACAGAGGGACCCCACAAGGTACGGCACCTCCCAGCCCAGCTGCCATCTGACCCTGTGGTCCAGCCCTTCGTGTCCCATTCACCTCTCAACCCCTGCCCACCTGGGCTGGAGAATAGCAGTGCCGGCACAGGTGGCCCTCGTTGTCACCCCCAACACCTGCCCCTCCTGATCCACGGCTTGGGGCTCCTGGTGAACTAGTAGGCAGCCTCGGGCCAGGGCAGGGGCAGGGGCCGGGGCCGGGGCCGGGGCCGGGGACAGGGCCCAGGCCATGGGCCATCTCCAGCTCGATCTCAGCATCCATCTCTGCGTCCTCCTGGGCCTCCTTGTTGCTGTCATCCAGGTGTTTCATGAGCACAGCCACCACCACGTTGATGAGCACAAACTGAGCCGTGAGCACGAAGCTCACAAAGTACAGCGGGGACACGAACTGCAGGCTGCTGAGGCAGCTGCGCTCATCGTGGGTGCAGTCTCGAAGCGTGTCCTACCACAGGGACAGGCTGGTGGGCTCAGTGCCACCCAGCACAGCTGTCCAGACACACACCTCACCTCCACACAAGGCTACAAGGCTACCAGAAGTCAGGCACACACACACACACACATGTGCACACACACGCATGCACACACACGCACACACATGCATGCACACACACACGCATGCACACACATGCACATGCATGCACACACATACACACACATACACATGCGCGCACACACACAGACCTGTGTGCCCACACACACACACACACACGCACACACATGCACATACACGCATGCACACACATACACACATACGTGCACACACGCGCACACACACATGCACATACACACAGGCGCGCACACCACCGGGCCTAGATTCAATCCTCCTCCAGAGTCCTGGCTGCCTTCCTTGACTTCATGCTCCTCTAGCTTATGGTGGCCTGAGCTTGCCTCAGCTTCAGTCAAGTCCCTAGGGTCCTAATCTAGTGTGCTCTGGCCCTTTTCACTCCCTTGATCCCACCTCTCAGAGCTACAAGAAAATTTGAGAAGCATGGGGTTCCCCAGGCACTCACTGTTGCTTTTCAGGCCAGCCCAGCAAGGTCCTGCCTGACCTAAGCCCGGTTCCATTTCACTGGAGTCAAGGAGGTCCCTGAACAACTCTGGTCCCTGGCTCTTCTCCTGTGTACAGCGGGATACTGGGCATGCAGAGAGCACTGTGTCTGGAGCAGGAGAACCACCATGCACCCAAGACTTGAAACTACCTGATTTCCCCCTCGGCTAGCCCCTGAATACCTTCATGATTCCATTCCAATTATCGCCTGTGGAGACCTGGAAGAGCGTGAGGAAGGCCATGCCGAAGTTCTCAAAGGTAGCGTGCCGGCTCATGCCCTCACACGGGTTCTCGTCATTGCAGACTGAGAGGGGAGAGGCGGTCAGCCTGCCCACCGGCAGCACCACCCCTACAACCACATGCGTGTGGACTGTGCCCAGCCCACAGATGGGACAACTGAGGCTGGAGGAAGTGGCACACTGGCTGGGGGTTCAGTCTTAGGGGCATGAGCTCCTGAGAGAGGTGCTAGGGTGACAGCCAGCCCCTCGGGGGAACCCCTGATTTCTGGAACTGACCTTATATGTGGGGCTGGGCTCTGTTATTGGGGTAGCCCTGGCTCAGGACAGGCGGTGGCTGGAAGCAGAGGATGGAGGCTCCCCCCAGAAGACCAGACAGCTTGAATCCAGGACTCCGCCACACAGATCTGATGTACATTCATGAGCCAGGGCCTCAGAAAATACCCCATGCTAAGACTGGGTTTGGGTGCGGAGTCCTGCTACTGAGACAACTGCCCCACACAATGACCTGGTGGCAGGCCGAGGAGCCCAGCCTAGGCATTGCTCACCCAGCTTTCCAAAGAGCTCCACTCCCAGGGCAGCATAGATGAAGAAGAGAAGCATGAAGAGGAGGCCCAGGTTGCCCACCTGTGGAGAGAGACGGACTAGGCTGGGGGCCAGAGGCCGAGGGGTATTCAAGAGGAGAAGGGGGAGGCCTGGGGGAGAGTGGGGAAGAGGAGTCCCAGGTCTGGAGGAGGGCAGGGAAGGGGGGAATCCCTGGGGCAGGAGGGTAGAGGTGAAGGACCCCAGCCAGGGGAACAGAGGCAGGGAACAGAGGCAGGGAACAGAGGCAGGGAACAGAGGCAGGGCCAGGCTCTGTATCGCTCCGTGTCTGCTGCCCCCTTGTAACCTCCTGTAGAGCAACACTAGTGAGTCACAGGCTACCGAATAAGAACCGAGGGCTTACAGCCTTTGCCACGAGCATAGCACTTGTCCAAAGCCTATGAGGGAGTGGGGAGAGGACTCGGTGGGCAAAGCGCACACACGTGGGGACCTGGTGTCAGTCGGCAGCCACGTAAAAGCTGCGTGGAGCGGTGTGCACTGCCCCACTGACGGGCACAGAGACTGGCGGGTCTCTGGAGCTCACTGACCAGCTGTTCGTGAGCCCCAGGCTCAGGAAGAGACCCTGCCCTAAAGAAAAAGAAAGGAAGGAGGGAAGGGAGGGAGGAGGGAGGGAAAGGAGAAGGGAAGGGAGAAAGAAAGGAAGGAAGGAAGGAAGGAAGGAAGGAAGGAAGGAAGGAAGGAAGGAAGAAAGAAAGAAAGAAAGAAAGAAAGAAAGAAAGAAAGAAAGAAAGAAAGAAAGAAAGAAAGAAAGAAAGAAAGGAGGGAGGGAGGGAGGGAGGGGAAGGAAAAGGATGAGAAGGGAAGGGAGAAAATAGAAAAGAAAATAAAAAAGTAATGTAGAAAATAATAGAAGACACTTGGCGCCACGCCCTCACTCACGCGTGGGCGTTCACACACACACCGCTCACACGAATCTGTGTGCCATCTTCTGCCCCATTTCTCAGCTGAAAATGAGACCGAGAGCCAAAGGACCTGCTTGCTCACTTGCATGACAAGTGACGGGTGAGGGACTCAAGCCCAGCAAACTGACCTTTGTTGGCCTGGGACACAACAGGATGAATCAGACTTGGCCCCCACAGGCCAGCGCAGGGCTGGCCACAAAAAAAAGGAATTAGTGAAGGAATCACACACGCCATGGTCCCAGGAGCCTCCTACACATGCAGACACCCCCGTCCCATGGCTCCTACAGGACAGGGTGCCCCAGATTCCCAGCCCGGTTCAAACCCAGGCATCAGTGGGAGACTGCGTTTCCCTCATGCTGTGGATGTGGCTAGCAGACATCCCTGCCCTACAAAGAAAATCCCTCCTGACCTTCCAAAGGCCCCTGAGAGTTGAGTCGGGAGGCGTCTGAGGTAATCACTATAAAGTGAGCCCCCATGGATCTCAGGCTGCTCTAGAGACAGGCTTCCCAGCCGCTCCACACTGCAGTGCGGGCTAATTAATGACATTAAAGATGCAGAAGCACTTAGCGGACACTGCCAGTCACAGTGTGTGGCCCTGATAGCCAAGGAAGGCCTGGCCTCGCCACGGCCCACAGAGCTCAGCTTCCCATCCTGCTCAGATCTGGCTGGCGGTGTTTCCTAGCCAGGATCCAGTCTTCCCCGTGGGTCTCTATAGCACCTTCCCAGTTCTACAGTTCTTGGTTCCTGGTTTTAGGACTGGGAGCAGGGATTGTTCCAAGAGGAATGACAGAGGATGAGGATTCCAGCTTTTTGTAGACTTTTATTGTGTTTAGCAACCTCTCCACCCCACCACCACACCCCCGTTTGGTTTCCTGCCTCACCCAGTACTGTTAGATCCATACTTGGTAGTAGTACTTAGTAACTGATGACAATTGGTGCTTAGTGGCCAGTCCTGATGAGTTATCTTTAACCCATACTCCAGGGTACTCCTGCTACAAACTCTGCAGGTATCCTGAAGTTTGAACATCGTTTTTGGATCCCAGACTTGGTTGGAGGAAGTCTTTTTCTGATAGGGGCATGTCACAGGAATGCAGGTTGGAGGATGAGTAGGATTCTAAGTAAGACAGGCAGCGACCTCCCCAAAGGGTGTGAAGGTGCTACAGAGTGGTAAACAAAAGGGTGGGTACCACCCATCCCATGGCTCCTGACCCCCACACCCTCCACCAGAAAAACAAGCACATACAATTCTGGACTTAAAAGATGCCTTCTTTTACCTCATTTTGGCACCTATAAACCATTGTTGCCCTTGAATGGACTGATCTTAAGAGAGGGTTTAATATGCCAACTGACCTGGACTAGGTTGTCACAAGGGTTCAAAAATTCCCACACATGCTTTCAATGAAGCCTTCAATGAAGACCTCCTGAGTTTTCAGCAGAGGTATCCAAAGAGCATCCTGTTACAGTACGGGGATGACCTCCTCATAGCCTCAGAAATTGAGGAGGAATGTAAGAAGGCCAGTGGGGGCCTGATGGAGGGCCCAGGATACTAGGTCTCAGTCAAGAAGGCCCAACTATGTGCACCCCATGTCACCTACTTGGGGTACAAGTTGAAAGGAGGAAAATGATTATTTTCCCAGAGCCAAATGTAGGCAATCCTACTGATCCCCACACCTCAAACGAAGAAACAAGTGCAGGAATTTCTGGGAAGGTTGGGTATTGCTGCTAGTGGATACCAGGGATCTCCCAGCTAGCTAAGCCATTGTATACCAGTACCAACGTGGTGGTTCTCAGCCACTACAATGGACTGACTCTGAAGGAAGAGCTTCTGAGGCCTTGAAGAAGGCCCTCATTTCTGCACCAAGCCCAGCCCTCCTGGACATCTCTAAGTCCTTCTTCTTGTATGTGAGTGAGGCCCAGGGTCCTACCCAGACACTAGGACCCTATAAGAAGCCAGTGGCCTACCCATCCAAAAGCTTAGATTCTGTTCCTGCCTGTTGGCCAGTTTATGGGCAGTTGTCTCTACAGTCATGCTAGTGAAAAGATGACACACTGAACTTGGGTCAAGAACTGTTCCTAACCACCCTGCACTCTGTAGAGCCTTCCCAAAGGGGGACCCCAAAAGAGTGGATGTCTGATGCCCCAACAATGCATTATCAGGCATTCTGGACCAGCCCCATATCTGATCCTGTGAAACCTCAGCCATCAGCCCTACCAGTCTGTTGCCAGATGATAACCCAACAGAGCCCCTCCTTGATTGCCTGCAAGTGACTGATGAGGTCCAATCTGTCACACCTGACCTAACAGATGTCCCACTGTGAGAAACAGGAGAGGTAACGTACACGGATGGGAGCAGTTTTGTTAAAGACAGCATCAGATATTCTGGGATGCAGTTGTCACCTTGGACAGGATGGTGTGGGCCCAGTCCCTCAGTTGAGGGACCTTAGCACAAAGGGCTAAGCTTCTGACATTAACCCAGGCACTTTGCTGGGGGGAGGACAAAGCCATCATTTGTCACAGCCCATGTCCATAGGACCCTCTATCAGGAAAGAGGACTCCTCACCTTGGCTGAACAATAAAAAATAAGCAAAAAAAAACTGTTTCTACTAGAAGCCATATGTCTGCCAAAAAAAATAAAAATAAAAGTAGCTATTGTCCATTGTGAAAGGCATAAAACCGGGATTTCCCTAAAGGCACAAGGGAGCAGGGCGGCAGACATGGCCCATGGGAGGCGGTCCTAGAACCAGTGGTGCCTCTCCAGATCTTGGTTACCCTGACCAAACCCAAATCTCTCCAGTGCCCAAACCACACACAGGAAGAAACTAAGTGGTGAAAGATGGAGGTTGTCAAACAGGAGGCAAATGAATGTGGCTCTTGCTAGAGAGCTGCTATCAGGACATAAATGGCTACCAAACTCCAGCAGGCCACCCATCTGAGGGCATCCAATGCTGCTGAGTTACTCAGGCCCAGATGTCGCATCCCTCCACACGACAATCTTGTCAAAGACACTGTGTCCAGAAGCACTACTTATACACAAGTGAACCCCAAAGGAGGAAGAAACACCCCAGAAGGAATCCATGACCAAGGAAGCAGGGAACAATGGAAAATGGACTTCACAGTTCATGGGTATAAATATTTACTAGTTTTTATGTATACCTTCTCTCGATGAATATCTCCTACCTGAATGGAGGCAGCCTTGGTAGTCACCAAGAGACCCCTCCAAGGGTTGATTCCTAGGTTTGGAATACCCCTCACCCTGGGGTCCAACAATGGCCTGCCTTCATGGCAAACATTTCTTGAAATCTGGCAAAGGTCCTTAATGTTGATTGATTGGAAACTAAACTGTGCCTATAGACCACAAAACTCAGGTCAGATAGAAAGTATGAATAGGACCCTGAAGGAAAGTTTAATTGTGTCCTTGAGACTGGCAAAAAAAAAAAATGGGCCAACCTCCTGTGACTTGCCTTTCTAAAAGCTAGGTGCACCCCATATTGAGAATATTTCTCCCCATTTGAAATTATGTTTAGGAGGCCTCCCTGTCTCCTCCCTAAGCTAAGAAGATGTCCATAAGGCAGACATCACTAACCACTCCCTCCTCAAGTCCTTACAGGCCCTGCACCAAACCCAGAGGACTATTCATCAGACGGTTCAAAAGGCCGTGGCCTTGTTCATACCTGAGCCTCCACACAAGGCACAGCCTATTGACCTTGTGTGGGTAAAGGGGACCCTGACCCAGAGCCTGGAGCCAACACAGAAAGGCCCGTACCCTGTGGTCCTCACCACCCCTACAGAAGTGAAGCTGCCAGTGTCATCCCCCAACTCCGCCACACCCAGCTGAGAAGGCAACAGAGGACAAAGACAGATGGGTTGTCACCAGATCCTCCAACCCACTGAAGATAAAACTGGCATGTCCTATGACTATGACGGTCCTATTTTGTCTTCTTTGTCTCCCTGTGGGAGATCCCCAAAATCCCCCATGAGCCGGGGCCTTGGGTGTGGGAATTAAGAAAGAATGGATCTAGGGAGCTGACAGCAAGTCCATCCACCGAGGCCACTCACCCTGTGGGCTTCTGTAAAATATGACACCCAGAAGCAGCTGGAAAAAGAGTCCACAAAGGAGCATGCTCCTGGGGCTGTGGGTCTACCTTTGAGGAGATGGGGATCCAATCTACCCAATACTATGCCTGCTCTACTGGCAGCCTCCCAAACTTCCAAGAGTCAGGTGAACACCACTGTGCTCAGTGGGTTGTGAACCCACATCCTCCTCAGGGCACACTGACCCTTTCAGAGTCCTAGAGTGACTCTGCCTGTGATTGCACTAGTCTTGGGAATGCAATCCAGTATCCATAAGGTTAGGACCTGGCAGGAAACTGAAGGTTATTGGGAAACTGGCAGAACCAGGGGAGTCAGGCTATGTGTGAGTGATCAAGACCCAGGCAGCAAATTTACTATCCAAAGGAAGCCTCCACCTAGGGTCATCTGGCCCATCTGCCCCAAACTGGCCCCTGGAATATGAGCTCGCTAAGGTGGCAAGCCTCAAAACTCCAATATCTGCAGAAATTCCTAAAGTAACCGTGGAGGGTAAAGGTCCAGGAAGTATCAGAAGCCAGCCCCTCGGTGTTTGGAATGTTAGGAGTGTATTGGTTTCTGAACCATTCTCAACCAGACAGGTAATGCCTGGTGGCTATCTCTACATCCCAAGCCCCCCCCCCAATGTTGGGATAGGAACTAGTCAGACAGTACGCCCCACTTCCAACCCTGAAAACTGGAAATGGGACCAACTTGAGTTCACCCTGGGAGACCTCCAAGAAAAGACTGCTTAATGGCACTAAGATATCTGCCAGATAGTTCCCCCTATGCAGATTCCTGTCGCCATGCATGGTAGGTTAACTCCGAGAAGAGCAGACAAGTGTATTTCCAGGCCCCAGACCCTACTTTGGCTTGCTCACACTAACAGCTCAGCCAAGTGTGCATCTTCTGGACAGTTTGCAGTGGAGGAGACCCCACTCCTTGGAGTCCTCATGGGTGGGCTGCCCTGTGCGTGGTGAGCCATCCCCTATTGGTAGGAGAATGAAATCAGGCTCCACTACAGCTGGATGGAGCTTCAGCCCTAATTGTAGGGGATAAAAATTTTAAGGAACTCAGTACTCAAGTAAACATAGCCCTAGCCATCTGGAAAATTCTGTTTCCCATTTAGAAACTCAGGTAGATTCCTTAGCAGAAGCTGTACTTCATGAAACGAGGGGGTCTCTGTACGGCACTGGGGGAAACCTGTTGCTTCTATGCCAACCTGTTAGGGTAATTAGAGAAGGTTTAGCCATGGTCAGAAATAAGACTGAAGAAAGAGAAAAGAGCCATCAAGGATCTGACAACTGGCATCAATTCCCCCTGGTTAATCACTCCACTTACGGCCGTTGCTGGGCCAAAAATTCTTTTGCTCTTAGTTCCCATTATAGGACCCTGCTTGCTCAACTGCCTACTTAACTACACAAAGCAGAGAATAAATTCTGTTACATTATTTGTGCTGAGATGTAACCCCCTGCCCAAGATGATGCCACAGTTTGACTCATGTCCATAGAACCAGCAGGGAATGTAACAGGCTTCCAGACCTTAGCACACTGAGACCCTGCCCGGGCACTGTTCTGACCTTAAAACCCAGCACACAGGCTGCAACACCTGTCAAATGGGAGCAAAGTCCTAACCCATCAAAGACCCGACCCATAGTTCCAGGGAAGTCCCTAGGTGTACAAATCATTTTTGATTTCTCAGTCCCACTTCTTGCTAACTGGGGGTGTGTCAATCAGGATGTGCTTTTTTTGTATCAAAATCCAAGAGTTGCTGGGCAGCAGTTGTGCATGCCTTTAATCCCAGCATTTGGAAGGCAGAGGCAGGTGGATCTCTGTGAGTTTGAGGCCAACCTGATCTACAGAGCGAGTGTCAGAACAACCAGGGCTGTTGCACAGAGAAACTCTGTCTCAAAACAAACAAACAAACAAACGTCCAAGAGCTCAGGGTTGTATGGTTTGGGTGAGCTCCCCATGCAGTCACTGGTTGGCAATCCTTTTTTCCAGATTTATGAGTGTCTGTGTGCTGGTCCACAGAGTGAGTTCCAGGACAGGCTCCAAAGCTACAGAGAAACCCTGTCTCGAAAAAAAGTATCTGTGTGGTGGTCTCTGGAAGGCTTACCTTACAGCACTGGGAAGCTCATACCAAACTCAAGAACAGAACTTAAGTGGTGTCCTCAGGGGAGGTCACCAAGAGAAGTTACTTTGCCTCTCTTCCCTGTGTTCTGTCTGACTTTTTTTTTATTTAAATTTAAATTAGAAACAAAGTTGCTTCACATGTCAATCCCAGGTCCCTCTTCCTCTTCCTCCCCTCCTCCCACGCCCTCCCACCAACCCCCTAATACCCCCTCATTTCCCCAGGGAGGGTGAGGCCCTCTGTGTCTGACTTTTATGAGACATGAGGTTCGCTAAGTGAATCATGATGAATGAATGAGCGTGTACAAGAGTCAGGTGCTTGGACACGCCTGGATGGGGCGGGAGGGACTAACACTGTCCATATGTGAGGGAGATGGCAAATGCCCCCTTCTGTGAGCCAGAGCCCAGCTCACCTTCCTCTGGCCAGGGACATGATCCTACCTAATTAGTGTCCCCTCACTCGGTCTGGGGCTGTATGGGAACCTCGTCATCCATGACATGACTTCAAACCATAAAGGCCCAGCTCAAAAGTCACCTCCCCTCGTTTCCTAGGGAGCAATCTGTGCCTCCTCCCTCCAGGGAGCAGAACACAGGCCTCTTCCCATAGGACCCTGAGGTGTCTATTGCTCCACCAATCTAGGGGCTCCCAAAAGCACTGTGAAGGTCCTCAGGGTCCCCATAGGGCTGGACACAGAGTGGATGCCGGTGACCATGTCATGACTTCCCAAAGAGAAGCAAGAGAGGCTCAAGTAACTTTCCAGGACCCTGGGTCTTGGCAGGCCTGGGGAGGAGGAAAATTAAAGCCGGCATCCTTCTGGGCCCAACCCCACACAATGAACCCTGGACTTTAGGGCAGGGATCCGGAAGGGTGTGACTCTTACCTGGGGCAGAGCCTGTACCACCGTGTCCAGCAGGGCCCGCATTCCTGTGGCCATCTTCAACAGCTTCAACACTGTGGGTGACATTCAGCCCTGGCTGTCAGTCCGGGCTAAAAGTCTGCACACACATGAGTGTGTACACGCAAGTGTGTGAACTCAGAAGAGAGGGGACACAGAGCAGTATGTGATCAAAGTTCCCTCTGATCACCTAAGAATATGGCTACAGGATCTGGAGGGATGGCCCAGTGGTTAAGAGCACTGGCTGCTCTTCCAGAGGTCTTGAGTTCAATTCCCAGCACCCACATGGCAGCTCACAACTGTCTATAACTGTAGTCCCATCGGATCCGGTGCCCTCTCCTGGTGTGCAAATGTACATGCAGACAAAATGCCCACTTACACAAAGTACACAGATAAATATTTAAAGAAAAAAACAGAATATGGCTGCAGCTGCAGAGTGAGGGGGGTGTGAACAAAGCAGAACATAGCACGGGTACAGCAAACTTCAAGACCACAAAACACGCACGGGGAGTGAGGGGAACGAATGAGTCGGCGACTGCTGTGTCAGAGATGCTGGACGCAAGGTTCCACGTCCCTCCTGTCCCTTCAGGATAGAAAGGGCTCTGGTGTCGCCCACAGTGTTCCTGCACACCCCTCTCTCCTTAAATCACGGATGCCGCTGGCAGGAGAGCAAGGAGCGCCCAGCCATCGCTGTGGCGATGGGATTTTGAGAAGGCAGGAGAGCTTTTGAGGCTTCTCCTGGATCCCGCTCTGCCCTGCTCAGCAGAGAGCTCGTTCACGCTCTACCTCCCAGCCCACCCCTACGTGCTCTCCCCTAGGCAACGGGGAGTCCCCTTCCTGACTCTGCCTCCTGCTTACCCCGGGCAATACGCAGAACTCGCATGATGCGGATGATGGTGGGGTTGATGGGCAGGGCCGCGTTGATCTCAATCTCCTCCAGTGTGATGCCCATGACAGACAGCAGCACAATGGCCAGGTCCAGCTGGTTCCATCTGTACAGCAGGGCAGTTGAAGCGTCAGTGGGAACAAGGGGGAAACATAGTGACCGAGATACGCCTGAGCGGAGGGTCGTCTCCCAGCACGTCACACTCCCGTGGGGCCCACTGTAATGTGTGAATACCCTTCCTTCTACCCTTCCTCTATGATGCCAGTGAGTCTGCCCCCTTTTTTCCTTCCTAAACAGGGAGCTGTCCAAGCTGAAGAAACATCACTGGCCTCCTGTAGGGGAGGAGGCAGGGACTCTGACTTCTAAGTCTAAATCCTAAACTATCTAACTATCCTAAACTACTTTCAGGTAGGATTTGGGCCAGTCTGCTGAGCTCTCTGAGCCTCAGTTGCTTCCTCCAAAAAGTTAGCATCAGGCAGACCACACTCTGTCTTCAGGTTACAGAGGACCCACAGGAGATGAGCTGAGACAGCCTGTATCCCGTATTCATCCAATGAGACCAAATCACTTCCTGTCCAGGGATCTAGTCAGCAGCTAGGAATCTGTGGCCATGAATAGCCAGATGTTACTGGCTCTTTCAGGCTGCTTCAAAGGTCAGGACTTCTTCCCATCCCTGCTCTGCCCTAGTATGGCTCAGTCACTCACCGGTCCTTGAAGAAACGCCTCAGGCCAAATGCCACCAGCTTCAGCACAGCCTCCAGCACAAAGACAGTGGTAAACATGTAGTTGCAGTATTTGAGGGCTGTCTCTAGGGACTATAGGGAAAAAAGAAGCATGGTCCGGGACTATGATCTGCACCAGAACCTTTCTACATCCAAAGAGTCTCTGCCTTTTAAGGGGAGAGTTTAGTCCATTTACATTTAATATAATGCTTTGTTTCTTTTTACTTATATTTCTTTTCATTCCTTATGTCTTCATGTGTGATAGTAATCTCACATTGTTATTTCCTTATTTGTGTTGGCCTGACCCAGTCGTTCCTCTTTGGAGACAGTGTGGGGCAGTGGTTAATGATCCCCAAACCAGACTGCATAGATTTGATCCTTATTTAATCTGTAACCTGGGAAAGTGCTTAACCTCTCTGACACTTCAATTAAAATTTTTAGAAAATAACTGCAGCTGCCTATCAGAAAGTTGCTGTGATGATTAAATAAGCTAACATTCAGTGCTGGGCACAGGACAATTGGTCATTGTAAAGTGTAATAATCCAATTTATTCACATCAATTTGGAAATTCTACAATTGCTGCTCACTCTGCCACTGTTCATTTCATAATAGTCTTCTCTGTCCACTGAAGCAAAATGCAAATTCTCCCCTCAGAGGCTTGGCTCCACCTTTCCTGCCAGCTCTGCCGAGAGGAGTCTTAGAGAACACCTTCCTCTTACACTCTTCTCAGGCATGCTGTCTGACATCCATCCCAAGGATGCCTGCATGGACCTGCCCTCCCCCCAGAAAGTATCCCCTAGACCCAGGCCACTCAGTGGGAGTGGAGGCCTCAGTAGACTTTGAACACAAACCTAACTTCCGATTCTGGCTCTGCTACCTCCTCTCTAAGGTTCATCTGGAAACCCCAAAGGTTCTCCCAACACTGACATTACTGTGAAGATTCAAGCATGCACCATACCTCACAGAGTCCATATTAACACACCGCAACCACGCACGCTCTAGGCTGCTCAACAATGCCACCTCCCCCACACTCCCGGAAGGACCTTTTTCTTTCAAGCTTCTGTCTAATTCACCAGAACCTCCTCCTGGAAAGTGCCTGGCATAAGCACATCATGGAGGGGCTTCACAGATGCTGTAGTCAGCTGGACCTCCGACCAGCCCTGTCCCTATGGTGGGATCCTGCCAGGCTGGTTCTCACCGCATGGCCTTAGACTACAGCAGCCCCAAGACTCACCGTAGGCTGGTTGTAGTGCTCCAGGGACATGGTGACCACGTTGAGACAGATGATGAAGGTGATGAAGATGTCCAGGTAGTGGCTAGTGCACATGGAGTGAATGAGCAGCCTCGTGGGACAGTAGGTGGCATAGTAGGGCAGCCTCTGGGCCTCTGCAGGGAGCACAGGAGAGTGCACAGACCGTACAGGGTTGGGCCAAGCAGAGAGGGAAGGGAGGGAGAGACCAGGGGTCTGGAGAGAGCAGCAGAGAAACGTGCTGGCTTACGCCAGGTCCCACAGGAGAGTTAGTGCGCCTCTGCCAACTGGGGCACCATGAGGGGACCACGAGATATTGGGTAGCAGAGACGTTAGGGTACATGTTATTCAAATATCCCCTCCCCCTGCAAAAGGTCTATGATAAGGGCTGTAGGTCTGATAGGCAGAGACAAGGGTCCTAAGGCTGGCTATTTAAGGGTGGATGACTGCCCCCCAAGACTGTACACAACTTGCAGAAGGAAGAACATGACAGGAGCTGTGTTCTGAAAGTTCCCACTCTGTGCTAGACTGCCTCTCTGTCTCTGCCTGCACGGGGAGTGCCCAGGGCTTCACTCAGGTGGGCACTGATGTCATTACTAATGGGCTCAGGTCACCTGGACAAGTAGATGCCGGGGAAAGGGCTGGGCCATGGGCAAATGATGGATTCGCCCTTTTGTTCCCCTCCAATTCCAAAGGCCCATCAGGCCCACCTAGGGCACCGCCCAGGAGGCACACAGTGAGCAGGGACCCCGCCCACCCCAGCATCCACCATCTGCTCACTGCGGCGCTTCTTCTCCAGGCGCCGTAGCCGCTTCTCCTCGCGCCTCCGGGCCTCCTCAGCCTCCTGGTGCTGCCGGCACTTGTGGAAGTTCTCTACCACCACTCCCACAAACATGTTGAGCACGAAGAAGCTGACGATGAGCAGGAAGGAGATGAAGTACAGCAGCATCCACGGGTTGTGGTTGGTCACAGGCTGCAGGGGAGGCAGAGTGAGGGCTGAAGAACCGATCTGCACAGCAAGGCCACACACAGGCACGGGGCAGTTAGGACAGCTAACCTCCAAGGCGTAAGGTGAAAACGACACAGCAAATGGGAAATGTCTAGCCTGGGCCTGGCACGAGTAAGGAGGTCAGCAAAGGGGCCTCTCTTTCCCTGCCCCTGTGGTTGTCTTCTGCACACATTGGTCTGCTGTCTTTTCTTTGACCTACCACTCATCCAGCCTTGCAAGAATTCATCTATCCACCATCTACCCAACTCGCCCATCCACCCACTCACCCACACACCCATCCACCCCCACATTCATCTACCCAACTCACCCACACATTCATCTACCCACTCACCCATCCACCCATCCACCATGTATCCAACCCATTATTCCATCACCCACCCACCTACCCACTCAACCATCCATTCACCCATTATCTATCCAACCTATTTATATCTTCCCATCACCCCACTCAGTCTTCCATCCACCTAATTACACACATCTCTTCATCCATAAACCCAGTCATCTATCCATTCACCCACCCACTCATTCATCTATTTTTTTTGTTTTGTTTATGTTTTTGAAACTGGCTTTCTGTGTAGCCCTGGCTGTCATGAAACTCCCTCTGTAATCCAGACTGGCCTCCAACTCAGAGATCTGCCTGCCTCTGCCTCCTGAGCACTGGGATTGAAGGTGTGCCTGGCCCCTCATCTATCTGTCTAGATAGATGGATGGATGGATGGATGGATGGATGGATGGATGGATGGATAGATGGATAGATGGATAGATAGATGAATATGGGTGGATAGATAGATAGATGGACAGATGGATAGATAGATAGATAGATGGATGGATAGATAGATAGATAGATAGATGAATATGGATGGATAGATAGATGGATGGATGGATGGATGGATAGATAGATGGATGGATGGATGGATGGATAGATAGATAGATGGATGGATGGATAGATAGATGGATGGATAGATAGATGAATATGGATGGATAGATAGATAGATAGATCCGTCTGTCATCTATCTATCCATCTATCCATTCGCCCACTCATGTAGTCATCTGTGCATCTGTCCATCCGACTATTCATCCTCCTCACCACCCGCATCCACACCCATCTATCCACTCACCCATCCTTCCATCTCCTCACCTGCCCGCCCACTTATCCATCTGCCGTCCGTCTACCCAGCCTTCTTCCGTCCACTCTACCTGCCACTCATCCACCAACCCACTTATTCGTCCCTCCATAAACAAAGTGAGCAGGAGGCAGCCAAACTCAGAACAGTGGGTTAAGTCCATTGCTAAGAGGAGGAGAGAGGCAGACAAGGAGTAGAGGAGCACTTACAAGTACGCTCAGCACCCCTGACCCTCCTTACCTCCTCTGTCTCCAGATATAACCTGGTGGGTTCCAGGAGACCAAGAGCCAGAGGTGACTTATAGGTCCCTCCCCACCATCCTCATCAGCTATGGCCCAAGCCATGCCCACCTGCTGGTCAACAGCGACAGCATCCAATCCATTATACATGATGTTCACCCAGCCATCCTTGGAGGCCAAGACAAAGAGGGACATCAGAGCCTGGAAGACAAAGGAAGGGGTAAGGGTGAGTGATGTGGGCACACCAGTCCTCCATGTTCTGCCTCTAGGAGACCAGAAGACGAAGAGGTCTCCTGAGTAGTAGAGCTGTGTCTTCAGCTCATGCGGCCTCTTTGAGCACCTACTGTGTGCCTATTGTGTGCCCTGCGGCTGCTGTTGTGGGGTTAGAAGGAGAACTGGAGTCAAAGTCCTGAGCTTCCATCTAAGTTCTGGAAGTAACCATCTATGGAATGCCCATGCGCTCCCATGCCCTGACCCGTGGCAGGGGCACAGGATCCCGTGAAAAGGCCAGTGAGCCTGTAGAAGGGACACTTCCTGACAAGCTTGAGTGGCTGTGCCATTGTCACCCCAGGAATCCCCAGCACCTGCAATCAGAAGCTCAGGAGTCCTGGGCCTCAACCCAGCCTCTAGTGTTAACTCAGGTGTGAGAGGGTGGATCTGTGAGGGAGTATCAGGAAATCTACTACAGGCCACCAGGGAGGGGGCACCAGGGAGGGGGCACCAGGGAGGGGGCACCAGGGAGGGGGCACCAGGGAGGGGGCACCAGGGAGGGGGCACCAGTCTAGACTCTGCTTCTTCTTGCTCCCTGGGGGAAAGGACAGTCCACTCTCTGCCTTGAGGCCTTTGTGGGGATGGGAAAGGAGGCTCTTTGGAACAGCTCTCATCTGAAGCACTAGCCAAATACCTCAGGTCCCAGGACAGGGGATCAAAGGCAAAGTAGGACCCCAGATGCTGACTGAATTGTTGGGAAGGAGAAGCCACCAGGCCAGGGGGCCAGATGGACCAGTCACTAGCTCAGCTTACCTACCGGGTTGTCATATTTCCATATGACAGAAGAAGAAACAATGGGGTGCATTCCCAGGAGTGGATGACTCTAAAACTCCCATTACTCTCCCTTGGGTGGGACAAGACCAGAACAAGTGTCCATGAAGTGCCTGCCAAGTTTCGCATGTTGACAGACTCTGCACACAGGGTCCCGGCCTCACACTCCCTGTGAGCAGAGCTGCACCCCTGCCCTCCTTACAGGATGCAAAACCGCTGCTCGGAAAGGAAAAGCGCGTGGGTTCCGGTCCGTCCCAGCAATGCAGGGCTCACCTGGCCCAGGTTGTCAAAGTTGTACTTGTGATGAACCCAGCGGTAGTTGGCGGCCACGCAGTCAGATCTGTTGGTGATGTTTCGGGTGTCCACTCCCAGGCAGTGATAGAACTTTCCCTTGAAAAGCTGCATGAAGGGAGGGAAGAGCTGCCCGCTCAGAGTGAGGGGGGAAAGCTTCTCCAGGCATTGACCCACGCAACCTGCCCCTCGCTCAGCCAGCCCGAGTTGGGTCTGCCGCCTTCACTTGGCTCCGCCAAGGCCACCCGAACCCCCAAGTGAGTGAACACGGGTGCGGTGGAGTAGGTGTGAATGGGCCGTGCTGGCTTCTTGTCACCCGGCAAAGTGGGCGCCCCCTCACCTGCACCCCCAGGATGCCAAAGATGATGAAGAAGGCACAACAGATGAGCACGATGTTGCCGATGGGCTTGAGGGAGGAGATGAGTGTCTCCACCACCAGCTTCAAGCCGGGGGCCCGGCTGATGACCCTGCAGGCAGGCAAGGAACGACAGAGAGACAACCTCAACTCAGCCCACAGTCACCAGGCCTCCTGAAAGGTGAGGTTCCAACAGGAAACGAAGAGACGGTTGCCAGGTTACCTAGGACCAGGGGTGAGCAGCAATCCCTGCCTGGATCAATGCATGGAAAGGCACTTGACCCCACACCCGGTCCCCACAGGGCATACACCACACCCAAGAGGTGACACCAAGAGACGGCAGTGAGCCACCCAAGGACACGGAGGAGGTAGCACCGTGGAAGCGGTTTGAGCCCTTGCCCTAGACTCTTTGGCTCCTCCCCAGCAGCACGGTATGTTTGGCCCAATGCTTTGGGAGCCTGCATTGTCAAGCCAAAGTGATGGTCCACTTAGACTTGGGCAATTTCCCTATACAGTGCAGCAACACTTGTACTCCACTCCACCCCCAGACATTGTGGCAGGACCCTTACCTCAAAGGGCGTAAGGTGCGTAGGAGCCGCAGGACCCGGAGGACCCCCAGAATCTTAGCTCCACCCGCGGAGGCCACAGATACCACTATATCGATGATGGACACAAAGACCAGGAAGCCATCCAGTACATTCCAGCTGCTTCGTAGGTACGCCTGCTCACCGAAGTACAGGCCCAGAGAAACCACCTGGGGAAGCAGGGTTAGGGTCAAGCCTCGGGAAGTGGAGGGGTCCAGAAGACTCCCCCCAGGGACAGGACAAAGGGAGATCAGGTCCACCTCCTCTAAGGAGGCGATGGGTGGGGTATGGCTCATGACAGCTCTTCTGAAGGCTGGCGGTAGGCAGGAAGGAACAGGGTCTGGGCCCAGGGAAGTCTCCAAGCTATGGAGATCTCGATCCAAAGCCACCCACACTGGGAAGCGTCCCAGGATGATGCTTCTACCTAAATGCGCCCTTCTAACTGGATTTGACAATTGAAGAAGAGGTTGCCACTGATCCCATCTCATTCCAGAAGCTCCACCCAGGGTCTAGAGCCCAACAGGAAGGGACCTCTGGGGCCTGTGGAATGTTGCTGAGGTGAGGCTCAGCCCAGGGGCTCCAGGTGGGGGTGGGAAGGATCCTGGTGAAGCCCACAACAACCTTCAGTGTCATCTCGCCCACAAAGATGGCTGTGAAGATGTAGTTAGACACCGTGAGGAAGATGCGCTCCTGAAAGAGTGGGAGAATCTGTGAGCCCAAGACTCTTCCACAACTGCCCGTGTGTCTGGTCAGCCTCTGCTTCAGCCAGGAGCAGCCACTGCGGCTACTGCTTCTCGGAGCCAGTGCAATGGCCTTCCACTCCCACAGGCAAGCTCCCTGTCACGCCCCTTTCCCTCCCTCTCTCTCTCTCCCTCTCTCTCTGTCTCTCTCTGTCTCTCTCTCTGTCTGTCTGTCTCTGTCTCTCTCTCCCTCTCTCTCTCTCTCTGTTTCTCTCTCTGTCTCTCTCTCCCCCCTCTCTGTCTCTCTCTCTGTCTCTCTCTCCCTCTCTCTCTGTTTCTCTCTCTGTCTGTCTCTCCCTCTCTCTCTCTGTCTCTCTCTCTGTCTGTCTGTCTCTGTCTCTCTCTGTCTCTCTCTCTCCCCCTCTCTCTGTCTCTCTCTCCCCCCTCTCTGTCTCTGTCTCTGTCTCTCTCTCTCTCCCCTCTCTCTGTCTCTCTCTCCCCCCTCTCTGTCTCTCTCTCCCCCTCTCTCTGTCTCTCTCCCCCCTCTCTGTCTCTCTCTGTCTCTCTGTCTCTCTCTCTCTGTCTCTCTCTCTCTCTCTCTCTCTCTCTCTCTCTCTCTCTCTCTCTCTCTGCATGCTAAGTGTCTGGCTTGGCTGAGCACTCTCCGGACTCCCCCACCTTGGACCACCACCGAGTGTTGTGACCCTCTGCCCAGCCCCAGGGCTGCAGCCACTCACAGTGCTGCCAGCTTCAATCTGGGGCCTCTCCAGAGCAATGGTGATACAGTTGAGGAAGATGAAGGCCAAGACCACATAGTCGAAGAGCTTGTGAGCGATGATCGTCTGACACAGGATCCGGAACCTAAGTGATAGTCAGGGAGCCCCCAGGAGGGTCAGGTGGCCTCCCACTCAAACCAGAAGGAAGACAGAAGGCCAATGCACACACTCAGGGACCAGGATGGATGAGAGGAAGGGAGCCCTCTCCCTCCCCACAGCCGTTCAAAGGGGCCAACTTCATATCTGCCGAAGGTGCCCAACTGGAGCCCCTTCCCCATCCACACACCGACATAATGAGGCCAACCATCTGCCTCCAACACCCAATACAAAGGCCTCTGATAGGAAGGGCGTGTCTGAGCTTTCAGGCTGCCTGTGGATTTGCCCAGGCCCCGCCCAGCACAGGGCTGACTTAAAACAAGAGATGCTCAGGAAAGCCGAGGAGGGCCATCTGGACCCTCCCCTGCCCTGCTCGGTAAAGAACTCTCCTAGACATGTCACCCTCCTCCTCTGGCCCTCACTCCCAGTCAGCCACTACTCACTTGTTCTCGGGGGAGAAGAGGTAGACCGACCAGTCCTCACGGACCTCGCACCAGTCGGGCTTGTAGACATCAATCATCTTGCGGACGCGGAAACACAGGGTCTGACGAGGCAAGGAATTGGGTGCCAGGGCTGGTGTTGCGCAGAACGGCCCACCTCTTCCCAACTCTGCCAACCCACAAACTGGGGGCACGGGATGAACTCTGGACCCTTCCCCCAGCCCCTAACCAAAGGGCTGGTGACTGGGTAGGTCAGGTGTGGGCAATTCTAGCCCCGCCCTCCAGCCCCACCCACCACTCCAGGACCACCCAAAGCCTTGTCCCTTGCCTCTTCCTGCCCCGCAGACTGCTTTCACGGTCCAGCCTCTCAGGGGTCCTGTCCTGTCCCTACTCACATAGTCGATCTCCTCCTCGTCCTCCCCACGGTCATGGCGGTCATCCATCTTGGTGAAGACATCTTTGGCGATGTTCGGCATTCTGCCATTGCAGTCCTCATGCCCAGGAGCCTGTCCCGGGGCCCTCCAAACAGTCCGCGAGTGGGCACCCACCACGGGTACCAGCTCTGCCAGGTCCACTGAGTCCCTGGTATCAAGGGACAGCGTCCGGCGGTGGTGGCGGTGACGGTGCGCAAGATGGGGTCCATGGTGCGGGTGGTGGGCATGCGGGGCATGCAGAGGTGCGGTGCGGGTTGGCGCCTCCTCCCGGGCACCCTCACAGGCCCTGACGCAACTGCCACCACGCTCCCCCGAGAGCAGAGACTCGTGCTCAGCTGAGGGTGGCTTGTGCTTCAGGCTGTTCCAGCTGGAGCGGCGACTGGCCCAGGTTCCGCTGCGGCCCCAGGGCCCATAGTAGGAGCTCCGGGAACTGGACTGCGGAGAGGCCCGGGCTTGGATTAGCAGCCACCCACACCATAATCTTGCACAGGCTTCCTGCAAGCCATGCTGGAGTGAGCCCACCCACTCAAATGTTATGACTCGGGTTAAACTCCCTACTTCTTTGAGAAAAGTGTATAGTAAAAAGGACCTGCTGTACCGCTCAGGGAAAGGTGATAATTTGCTCGCTTTTACACTCAGAGGTGGCAGAGGCCAGATTAAACCTCTAGTTGGCCTCACCCCAGAAGTCGACACACTGCTGCCAAGATGAAACCCCAGTTCTTTCCCCCAGACCACAGTCTTTCATTCCAGCTACCAAGAGCACCCAGAATTGCCATAACCACAGATCCTGCCTGGTCTAGACTAGGTAGTGTGGCACGGTCCCTCAGTACCCTCCACCTCCAACAGGGAGCATCGATCATAGCACCCACAGGACTCACCAAGGAACGCTGGTCATAGCTTATCCTGCCCAGTGACATGACACTGCTTTTGCGGGAGTCTAGGGCCACCAGTACCGGGTCTGGCTGCAGTGAGAGGCGGGGGGCGGTGCCCATGGCACCAGTGGGACCTGGATGCCCACCCAGGGGGAGGCCAGGGTCCAGGTGTCCATTGGGTGTCATGGGTATTGGGCAGAGCTTGAGATCTGGAGGTATGAGATGAAGACGAAAGACAGACAGACAGACAGACAGACCAGCAGAGGAAGCCATGAGACAATCAGAAGTATATATGTGTAGATGGAGAGAGCGTTTCTAGGGAGGCATCCTCTACCTGGAAATCCTGGAGGCTGCTGCCTGCTTCCCATGCCTTCCTCCATCCTCCCTACAAGGTTTTTATTTACCTCCTCATGAACCTTTCCTTCTCTTCTGGGGCCAGCCCACACCTCCACCCGGCAGGAGGACCTCACTCCCATGCTTACAGGCAGGGACTGTCCCTCTTGGATGACTACGGACACTGTGCTCGGTTGGAAGAGGCTATCTAGTGGTATCAGACATGACCAGACACAGGCCACATCTTAAGACACTGGGACTTTAACTCAGGGCCCCCTGTGGGAAGGGAAGCAGATGTGCTCTCCAGGGGAACCCAGGAGGCCCATGAAAGTCCTTCCCTGAGACCATGCAGTCCCTGAGCCTAGGCTTCATGGGGAAGCCATCGTGCCTTATGTCCACCTGGGAATCTACAGAAGGCTTCAGACCCTGAGTGGAAAGTGGGCATGGGCTTACCCCCACTATTGTCCAGGCCCTCTGGGAGCTTGTCAAACTCCTCCATGTTAGATGAACTCTGGTCCTCATCAGAGTAGGAGCGATTAGCATCACCCTGGAAGATCAGCTCACATTGGAACAGGTCGGCTCTGCCTTTTCCTACCCCGCCCTTGGGGTTTTTCAAGGGGTGCTTCCACCCCCTTTTACAGATGGGGAAACTGGTTCAGAACAGGGACCTGAAAGGTTAACGGGGACTTCGACCACAAAACCCAGCCTTCTTGTCTTCCCTGACTCCCTATCCCCTGCCCAGTGGCCTGCCCAGGGTTATAGTTACCTCGGCCTGGAAACCCTCTACCAGGATGGCCACCAGGAGATTGAAGAGTACGTAGTTGCCAAAGGTCATGAGGGCGACAAAGTACAGGGAGGCCCATGGGGTGGTGGAGGCCATACCATTGTAGAGAACAACATTCCAGTCCTCCTGAGTGAGGATCTGTTGAGAAGGACACAGTTCAGCCCTGGGATCCACCCAAGCCTCAGCCCCTCCCAAACCTGCTATCCAGACGCCTCCCCCCACGCACCCCTGAAATCCATGAGCTTTCGGTTGTCACTCACCTGGAACACTGTGACAATGGCCCACAGTAAGGAGTCAAAGTTCTTCCTGTCAGGGACTGTATCTCCAGTGTCCGTACGGAGGCTGAATTTGCAGCCGAAGATATGCATCCCAAGGATGCTGTGGGGGGGACAGAGTGGCTCGTGAGACGGAACACTGAGTCCTCTACAACTCCCAAGGCCACCCAGAAACAGAACGGAGGGAGATCTCAAGCCCATGTTAACAGAGGGGGATGCTGAGGCTCCGAGGAAGGATTTGCCTGGAGCCATCAGGGCTGAGTGATGATGCTGGGACTCACGGCTAGATCCTGGCAGCTTTGCCCCTAGGATCTCCCACCAGCCACCACATCCCAGGCCCGCATCCTAGACTCATGCCCACAGTCCCCACCGGGTCCCCAGTGTTGAGCCCCGGATGGGCATGGCTCACCTGAAGATGAAGATGAAGAGCATGAGCAGCATGCAGAAGGTGGCCACGTTGTCCATGGTCTTCATGAGCACCACGAGCTGGCGCCGCAGCGCCGGCATGAAGCGCACCAGCTTCAGCACCCGCAGCAGCCGGAAGGTGCGCAGCACCGACAGGCCTCCGTCCGCCTGCCCCACTATTTCCCATATGCTGCAGCCAGTGTTGGGGGGAGCAGAAGGGGTCAGTGGGAGGCCAAGAGGACGGGAAGATGGAAGAGGCAGACAGGGCAAGGAGGACAGAGAAAACAGCTTACGTCATCTATCCACCTAACAAATGGTGTTGGGTGCTATTCCACAGCACCCCCTAAATCAGGGTTTCTTAGCCAGGAGCCCCTGGATCCTACATTAAGAGGCCTGTGGCTCTAGAGCTGGTGAGATGGTTCAGCGGGTCAAGAAGCTTGCAACCAAGCCTGATGACCTGAGTCCAATCCTCAGGACCCACGTAGCAGACAAGAAGTGACTCCTGCCAAGTTGTCCTGTGACCTACAACACACGTGCACACTCACACACGTAAAGAGGGACAACGAGGAGGCAACAGTCTTTGTCTACAGCCTCTCAAGTCTCCGAATGCCACTGCCCTCTTTTTGAGGTTGCATGCTTCTTTTGATTCTGAATGTAAACAACAAACCAGAGAGCCGGCCATAGCTGTGAGCGACCAAAACAGCCGGATTCTTCAGGTTGCATAGTGATTGGTGTACCTATTTCTGTGTTTCCAAGCCCTGTTTGGAAATCTGGTGGCCCCAGACTCGCTGCTACCTCTATTGAGCGCATTAATGCGGAAGCATTTATTAGTAAATTACCAGTTTATTCAGTATTTGGATAGCCGCCTGTCAGTAGTGATTTTCTTTGTCATTCAGAGACTCCCTGTGCTGTTAGGGGTTGGGGCTCTCACTCCTGCTCCTCGGCTTCAGGGTGGCAGGGTGGTTACCTGATGATGACAATGATGCTGTCAAAGATGTTGTAGGGGTTTCGCAGGTAATCGAAGAGCCCGAAGGCCGCCAGCTTCAGGATCATCTCCAGGGCAAACATGCTGGTGAAGACAACATTACAGATCTCCAGAATGTTGGTCAGCTCCTCCGGCTGTGGGATGTGGGGGCAGAGAATGTGTGACCCTCCTGGGTCCCTGTCATTGCACTGTAGTCTGTAGGGCTTCTTAGCTGTGCTACCGTTGGATGCTAGGGAGTGGTCTCTACTAAGGAGTGGGTGCTGTGCACCGGAAGACATCACACTACCCATGTTACAGACGGGCCAGCCTCTCGCACACTGCCAGGAAGTGGAAATCACAAGCGGGGTTCGTACTGCATGCCTCTTGGACTCTCAGCCTCTGGCTAAGGGCCAGGTAAGGAGGCTCTCCTCTCCACAGTGAGGGGCCAATGGCTACTGCCTGAATCTAGAAAACGAATGGCCAACTTATTCCTCCCTCACTGAGCCTCAAAGCCTGACAGGCCACCACTGACCTTTCCATTTAGTAAGTAAGGAAACTGGCTGCGTGGCAGGGGCTGATTTGCGCAGAAGCCCCCAGCAGTATTAGCGGACTCCAGTGCAGCACAATCCTGCCTGAACCAAGCATTCACTCGCTCATTCATTTGCTCCCTCCTGGGTGTATCATACAGGTCTTCCAAGAGCCCGCACTGTGCGGGGCCAATGTTCCTCAAGAGGCCACGGGGACGCCCACTCTCAGTGGCAGAGCCCTGCGAATCACCTCAGAAACAAAGCAAGCCAGTACCCACCAACACTGGTAAGGCTAAGCATGGCTTGGGGGACAGTGTTGGGGAGCCCGGCGGCCTCCTGTAGGAGGTAAAGGAAGGGAGCTGGTGACACAGGGGAGCAGAGCAGGGTAACCAAGCCAAACTCCCAGCCAGGGCAAGGGCTGGGTGGCAAGCAGGTGCCACAACAGGAAGCCACCTCCCACCTGCCAGCACCCTAACTCCGAGCTCAGCCCTCCCACCGCGAGCAGCAGGGAACCCCAAGGGCCCAACTTTGATTCCATATGGCTTACAAGAAGAAAGAAAAAATTATGCAGCCACCAGCTTCCCATCCCTAGTGCCCAGGAAATTCAATAAAACTGCCAGTTCCTCTCAAGCCCAGATAAAAGGAGAGGGACCCATTTCCATCCGTAATTACATTTGACTCACAAAACTCGAGGGGAGCAGGACCCTGGGAAGGCGTAGGTGGGACAGACTCTGAAGCCGCTCACTCAGCCCACCCAAACCAGATCTTCAGAGAGGAGGAGGGTGGCAGCTGACGGGTCCGTGGTGGCCATCCGCTGGCTCTTAGCCGCATACAATGTGTACATGTTCCCTCCAACCGTGCTGCAGCCACCGTGCTTCAGAAAGGTCACCCACTCGTCTCCCTCCTCCCCCGCAACAGCTGCTTCTCCAGGCAGCGCACACCTGTTAATCTTTCTCTAATGGACCATCCATCACTCCCAAGAGCATCTTTCCGGGAGAGAGGCAGACGGATGAATATAGACACCACGCGTGGGAGGCCAAGCGAGGGATGGAAGGGGCAAGGCAGGGATGCAGAGAGGTGGAAACCGGGTGGATGGACAGACAGATAGGGATACGGCGAGCAAAAGGCAGAGGCGGAAGCCCTGATACAGACATAAAAGAAGGCGGTCTGAGGACGCGGCTCAGTCCTCAGAGGGCTGCTCTGACATTCACAAGGTCCTAAGTGCAATCACCACGCCCGTTACCTTGGTATGGCAGCACACACCTGGAATCCTAGCATGCCAGGGGTTGGCGGCAGGAGGATCAGAAGTTCAAGGTCATTGCTGACTATGTATTGGGGTCAAAGCCAGCCTAGGCTACGTGAGATCCTATTCTAGGGGGAGAAAAGGGAGGGGATCGATTGGGACACAGTGACAAGGTGGAAGTCAGAGACATGCCAGGAAAGGAGAGACAGACAGACAGACAGACAGTGAGAAGTCTAACAGGGATGCCCACCGTGCACCCTTTGAAAGAGCAGGTGGTCCATGTCAGAAAATGGCAGGTTGCATCTAGAAGGTGTGGGGGCTCACCCTGGCCAGTGCTGGGCCTAGGGGCCTCAGGCTGTCCAGTCTCTGGCCACCTCTACAGGGGTAGAGGAAAGGACATGCAGAGGTCCGGAACCCCTCAAGCCCAGCCTAGCGCCATGCTGACAATGGCAGCAGGTGTGGGCGGGGCAGGCGTGCAAAGCCCTTTCCAGGCAATTATCATCTAGGCTTCCATCTTGCCCGCACTGTCCCCATTTAATAGGTAGGAAACGTGGCTGGGACAGAAGTCACTGCTCAGGGTCAAAGCCAAGCTGGAGTCCACTCTGGAGTCATGTCTCTGCCCTCTGCTGTGTGAACCAGGTGCCACCACAAGGACATATCTTAGGAGAAGTTTGTTCAGCAGGCATATTATTCTCCTGCTTACAGGCCTTCCCTGGCTCCCCGAGGCACTGAGGACAGAAGAATCCTTGAGCCTACAGTGGATAAGCAACCCTGCTTGCCCCATGACCTGTCCACTACACCCTGCACATACACCTTCTTGGAAGCTCTGGGTCCTAACCCCTCCTTTGTACCTGTCTTTCTAACTGATGACTCACTGTCATCCTACAAGATCCATCCTCAGTGCCACCTCTTCCAGGAAGCCCTCCTTAGTTGTGACCCATGTTGGTACCTCTCTCTCTCTCTCTCTCTCTCTCTCTCTCTCTCTCTCTCTCTGTCTCTCTGTCTCTCTGTCTCTGTCTCTGTCTCTCTCTGTCTCTGTCTCTCTCTGTCTCTGTCTGTCTCTCTCTCTCTCTCTCTCTCTCTCTCTCTCTCTCTCTCTCTCTCGGCCCTCACAAAGTTAAAATGTCAGACACTAAACCATCCCATAATCCTCTTCCCAGAGTCACCCTAAGCCTGGATTATTTGACAGGAGCTACCCAATGAGCGTTGAGTCACCTACGACTGGGGGAGGCCTTGAACACATTCCCCTGGGAGCAGGAACCCAAATGGTTCTTCATCCTGGAGTGGGGCCGCCCTAAGTGTGGGAGGACCCCTTCCTAGTGCCCATTCCATGCAAGCCTTTACTCGCCCGGCCTTCACCGGGCCAAGGTGAAGCTTCAGGGTTGCCCTGCCTAGCTTGAGAAGAGTCCCAGGTCTAGTCAGGGAGGCGCTAAGACGGAGACTACCCCGCGTGTCTTCCGGGCCTGTGCCCCACCTCTGTTGTGATCACCCACAGATGCCGTCTGCAGCTCAGAGTCAGCCCTGCTGACTGCTTGCCGGGGTCACCTGGGCAGCCTAGTCACCTGCCTCAGTTTCCCCACCTGCCCCATCTTCCTAGCAGGGATGAGACACATAGCCAGTTTGCCTTCCAGGGCTTCTGTGAAGATGAAGCCTGGCAAAGATGACCCGACTCTCTTCATGGTCCCACAACTCAACCAGACACTACCCAAGGGGTGTGGTCTCCTCAAGTCTCCCAGGTCTCCTGGGGATGCGCCAGGCAAGCCATCGGCCATCGAGACACACCCCGCCCTTGTTGGGCATTATTTCTCTCTTCGGGAGACACATGTAAGTCCATGACCGGCTGGCACCCTTTCACCTGCGATCTCCTATAGGTCAGGCCCTACAAGGAATACCCACAGACATACTGAGGCTGGACAAGGAAACTGTTCGTGGTGATGGCCCTCCATTATTTGAGTGGCAAAGGCTGTGAGCATCTGTACTGAGCTCCCTATAATTAGGGAGGCAGGGGTGACGAGCCAGGACCTCACCGCCTGTCCCCCTGCAAGCGTTGCTCGGAGTTCTCTGCAGGCCTGGGTGGGGGCAGGGAGGAAGGACCTGTGACGCTCTCCCCTTTTTCCTGGCATGCCATCTGCAGCCCTGGGCCACCTCTCACTGTGGGTGCGACCTCAGTGGGGGGTGCTCAGAATAAACCTGGGGGCGGATCAGTTTCCCACAGAGAGGTGTCTGAGAGCCCCGGGCGAGGAACAAAAATACCAGCGGGCCCTGCGCAGAGCTCCACTGAACAATGGCTGCCACTCGGCACTGCTTTAAAAAGAATGGCTAAAAGTGCCTCCTCCTCCTCCCCGCGTCTTCTTTAACTAATTTTTGAGGCTCCAGACAGTGGATGGTAAACTCACACCAGGCTGGTGGCAGAAGGCTCGAACAAAAGACCTGCTAGTCATGAATGCCTACCAGAAAACCAGAATTCACACGCTTGCCCTTCCCGAACACCCCGTGTGTGTGTGTGTGTGTGTGTGTGTGTGTGTGTGTGTGTGTGTGTGCGTGCGCGCGTGTGTGTGTGTTCTGGGGGGAGGGGTTCTGGCTTATCTGTGGATAGAGACACTAACTAGGTAAGCATGTGACTTTCCCAGGGCTACCCAGTCCATCAGACGCAGAACCAGGGGTGGAATCCAGGCCATGAATGGAGGGTATGGTCTCTGAGCAGTGGCCTTCCAAGTGTGAAAACAGGAAGCTGTGACATTAGCTTGGAAAATGCTTGTGAGGACTCAGGGACACTCTCTCTGGGCCTGGAGCTTACTAAGTTCCCAGTAAGTGGCATGCCTCGGACAGAGACATCTCTCAGTTGAGGTTGCAGATGAGGAGGTCAGGGCAGACCCTACACTTGGCAGGGGCCATCTCCAGCCAGGTAGAGACTCCGGGTAACAGGTAACTGCAGCACCACGTGACTTCTGCTGTACCAATGGGAGAAGCTCCAGAAGTTAGCCTGCTCAAGGGGCCAAACAAGGTGGCTCAGTGGGTAAAGATGTAATAAAAACAAACGGCTTTTGTTGCTGCTGTTTTCGAGGCAGGGTTTCTAAGAACGAGCTCTGAAGACCAGGCTAGTCTCAAATTTTAGTGATCCACCTGCCTCTGCCACTCGAGTGCTGGGATTAAAGGTGTGCACCATTGTGCCCAACTCAAGTCAATTTTTTAAAGAAAGTAAGCATGCTCAAGAGGGATACGGCAGGGCCAAGAGAGGAGCCAGAAGAGACCCTAAGCAGACTCACGCAGGCACCACGACTGGCCTGAGCTCAAGCTGGCATAAGAAGAGCAGCCTTGGTTGTGGTGCTGCCTTGGAGGGGCTTCAAGAAGGCGGAGACCAGTGGGGTTCAAGTAAGCCAGTGAGAAGAAGCCCTGATCTGTGGCATCTGCCAATTTCCGTGGTGTAAATTCTTTCTCCATAACCCTTTCCAAACAAGCAACTGTTTAACAACTGCTTGATAAATTCCCAACAATTTATCTTGTGAGAAAATTGGCTCTCACAGGACAAGAGACTCTGGTGTAGCAGGGTGGAGACACCAGAGCCAGGCGCCCAATAGCAGCTCCTCCCACAGCCCCTTCCCCAAACGTGTAAATGCAGCTGGGTCTCTGCATTCTGACAGTCTAGGGCCTCCGGGCAAAGGACAGTCCTCTCCTCTCTCCAGCTTCCCCTGCAGAGATCCCACCCAGCAGCCTCCCCAAAGATCTTTCTAATTAAGTCAGAAGAGCTGGCAAACCTGTAGTACCAACTGAGTGTTGGTGGCAGCCCCAGGGGCCATATTTAACTAAATTGAATGAAGCCTGTGCTTGGTGAGCTAATGAGCAGAGAAATGAAGAGTGTGGCCCCTCTGGGCACAGGGGAGGACTTTGCAGAATGACAGTGACACCATAGCCAAGGGGACTCAGAATCCAATTCCTGCTGGGGTGTCACTCTTGCCACAGTCGGTGGGTTCAAACCTGGCTGTTGGCTATCTGTGGGACTTCGGGGCAGTGGGCCTGGCATAGCCAGTTGGCAAGTGAGGGTGCTCCACCAGGCTGAGGAACAGGCCTAGGAAGCCACACCCTCCAAAAAGGACTAGTGGACAGGAGCCAGGAAGTGGGGTTACTCCAAATGGAGCCAGGATTTGACAAGCTGTTACCGCAGGCATGCCCTATGGACTGCAGGCTTCCGGGCAGCTTAGGGGGAAAAGAGGCAGACCGCCCCTGAGTTGATTCCCAATCCCATGAAATCCATGAGCCTCACTCATCAGCCATTCATTCTGCAGACACCCAAAAGTATCTGCCCCGAGTGTTGTCTCGGGAAAGGCCTGGAAGCCATCTGGAAGGGTTAGACTCTACTCTAGCAAGGGCCAGAGGCAGATGTGGGAGTGGGCTCAGTCTGGCCTGAGTGTGCCCCTCCACCCCTGCCCGACCTGAACCCGGCGCTCCACACTGGCCTGCTTCTCCCTCTCCCCAAACCCGGCCCAGGCCCTGTGCCCTCACTGGCCTGCTCATGGTGCTCGATGCCCATGCTGACAGTGTTGACCAGGATGGCCATCATGATGCCTCTGTTGAAGTACTTGCTGTCCACGATGCCCCGCAGCTTGGCTCGTGTCTCTCGCCACACGTCACCACACAGTCGAGCCGCCCCATCCTCCTGCTCCTCCTCCTTCTCCAAGCCCGAGGAGGCTCCATCCTCGCTGCTCTGGGGTCCATCCCCATCGGCTTCAGCTTCTGCAGAGCCACCAGAGCCCGAGCCTTCCTGGCCCGAATCCATGCTGCCCAGGCCTGAGGGCCTCCTGCCTGCCTCATGCTGGCAGCGCGGACAGCTGCTTGGGTCGGAGGCCAGGATAGCAGAAATGGGCTGCACCAAAGTGTGGGGTGTGGGGTCCAGGGAACTGTGTCGTGGGCACAGCTCTGAAAAACAAGCAGAGGGCAGCATTAGTGTCCAAACCAGGTCCCCAGGTCCCCAGCGCCCCGAGGGACACTGTCTGACACGAGCGGACCCCACCTGGTGGGCCTGGTGCTTCCTGGGGAAACATCTTATCTCCATCCAGGCTTTGTCCCTGTACAGAAGCAGGAATGGGGGCACCCACCTGACAAAGCTATGGATGACTGCCTTCATTAGGCATGTGGCAGGCTCATCCGTACCTGGCACCTCGGTCCATGCTAACTCCCGGTCACCTTTGACCTTGACCTTGGGTCAGTCACTCAACAGACACAGTTGTGCGGATCTGGGAACTGCAGGTCTGAGTGGAGGGTGGACTCCCCTCAGAGGAAGCTCTGGCAGCTTTGGCACCCCACTTTGCTCATCTGTGTGAAGTTCTCAGGGAAGAGGCATAGCCCCAGACAGAGGCAGGCTCTTGCTCTGGGGGTTCCCAGGACTTCCCTCCACACAAGAGTCAGGCTAGACAGGAGCAGGGGCAGGATCACAACAGATAGGGTCTGTGGTAGTTTGAATTCAATTGGCCCCCATAATCTCATAGGGAGTGCTACTATTAGGAGGTGTGACTTTGTGGGAGTGGGTTTGGCCTTGTTGGAGGACGTGTGTCACTGTGTGGGGGGGGTGGGCTTTCCTGTGCTCAGGATACACCTAGTGTCTCAGTCAACTTCCTGTTGCTGTCTGATCAAGATGTAGGCAGCATCATGTCTGCCTGCCTACCACCATGCTTCCCATCATGATGATAATGGACTAAAGTTCTGAACTGTAAGCCAGAATGTTTTTCTTACAAGAATTGCCAAGGTCATGCTGTCTCTTCACACCTTAACTTTCAACCCCTGTGCTAGCCTTGGATCTTCAAGTCAATCCGAAGAGGCATCAAGAGGCTTCTCTCTAGCTAGTTTGGTTTCTTCTTTTTATTTTTTTTCCTTTCATTTATTTATTTATTTGATTCATGGGTTTTTTTTTTCTCTGTGTAGTCCTGGTTGTCCTAGAACTCACCATACAGGCCAGGCTGGCCTCAACTTCAGAGATTCACCTGCCTCTGCCTCCCAAGAACTGAGATTAAAGACATGTGCCACTACACCTGGGTGGTTTCTTCTTTATACTTTCCCATATTATAGTAACACAAACATGCTTGAATAAGACAAAGGGAAAAAATCACTAAAGGGAAAGAAACGCAGGAACTCCTACACTTCTCCACACCAGCCTCCAAATACTACAAAGCAACCAGACACCTGAGCCATCCCACTCCAGCCTGGAGGATCAAAGGCAGGCTCAGCACCTCTACCAGACACAGAAGAAGGAGAAGGTGCAGAAGCCTGGGGGGACAACTGAAAACTGTAGAACCTCTCTCCATGGAGTTCCAGGGCAAGGGTGGCAGCAACAACAGGGAGCTCACCCCTAGGAAAGTACGAGCTAGCCTTGCCCAGACCCCAGCTCTCCTCTCCACTTGCAAGGCCAGCCCCCAGGCCGCCTGGAGCCACATCTAGGTGGCTAGTGTCTATGGACAGTGGGCAACTGTCTGTTCTCTACCAGCCTCTAACTGGCAGCATAAGGGACCTGGACTTCACCAGACAGGGCCTAGGCAGTATATGTTGTCACTCACAGGCACAAACTAGTAGATCCCTTTGAGCCCTGCTCTGGAGAAGGAGATGGGTATCACTGTGGTGTTCAAGTTCATATGGGGAACGGGACATGCCATGCTCCTCAGCTGCTCCAAGGAACAAACCCAGGGTCTGTCAACTTCTCAGCACCAGCAGGAGAAAGTGAACCAAACCTGGAATCCCCACTAGCCTGGGTGGCCACCACTTAGGGCTGGGTACATTTGCAGCTCGAGACACTCGGCAAGGCCCAGCACCTCTGACAATCCACTTGACCGCACTTTCACTGACACGCCACACCACTGAGGTGACTCCCTTCGACCTTGGGTTTCCCTTCTGAAAACTGGAGACACTTTTTAGTCTGCCCCCTTCTCTGGGCTATTTCTTGAAATAAACGAGCTAAGGAATATCTCTCATCTATCTCTCTATCTATCTATCTCTTTCTCTCTCTCTCTCCAACTCTCTCCTTGCAACAGGGTCACATGTAGCCCAGCCTGGTCTTGAACTCACTGTGTAGCTAAGGATGCCCTTGAACTTCTGATCTTCCTGTTCTATGTCCCGAGCACCAGGATTACCACCATGCCCCATGGGGCTTGAACCCAGAGTTTTCACCCGTGCCCAGCAAGCACACTAGCAACTGTACTACATTCCCAGCCTAGAGTATCCTTTCTAAGTTAAACACCAAACTTACAGTCTAGCGCCACCCGAGCATGAGGCCGGAGCAGAGCATGGGGATGAGGGTCCCCAGGTGCCATGACATGCACTGCCCGTGTGCCAGGGGCCTGCTGTCATTACTCATGTGCGCTGGTGAGCAGGGAGCAGCCATGGCAGACACAGTGGGGGATGGTGGGGGCGGTCACAAAGTGGGAGGCTAGTCTCTCAAGGCTGGGAACAATCACTGTGCACTTGACTATCGAGTGTAGGTTCAAGGGAGTGGTGCCCAGTTCGCCTGCAGAACTTGGAAGAATTTCTCCAGGGAGTGAGGGCCATCCCACACAGGCTGGACGGGGAATAGGGCAAGGGGCGAGCAGAGCAGATGAGTCCTGCATCGGTCACAAGGAAAACACCAGAGCCTGAAATGAATCCTTGGGATCCCACAACTGATGTGGACACTTTGTGCTCCAACCGGCACGATCCACTTGCAATATTGCCGCTCTGAGGCCCCCGGTCATGGCACACGAGCTGCAGAGAGAAGCCCACTTACTGCAGTGGCTGGATTCCTTGGAGTGGGGCCCAGGCTTAGCAGGGGCCGGTGTCCCCGGGCCCGTGGCCTGGCGCCGATTCTGCAGGGCCTGGTAGAGGCCCAAGGCACGGCGCTTGGCCTTGCGAAGGATGTGACAGACATATTGGAAGATCTCCTCGTAACAGTCACCAGGCTCGGCGTAACTGGCCACCGTGCTGGAGGACAGGTAGCGCTGGCGCTGCTCCAGCATCAGCCGGTGCTCCCGTTGCTTGGTCTCCGAGAATTGGGTTGCTATGACAACGAGGCACAGGTTGATCATGAAGAAGGAGCCCACCTGTGACCAACAGGAGGAAAGGACAGGGACAGGGACAGAGGGGACAGTGGGGCCAAGGAAGTAGAGAGAGAGGTAGAATCAGCAGGAGGGCACAGGAAAAGGGTACAGAGAGATGGAGAAAGAGTTAGCAAGAGCAGGAGGCAGACACAGAGGCCAGAGACAGCAGAAATGGGGAAGGAGGAGGGGACAGACCAGAGACATAGAAGAGGGGACAGAAGACAGAGCAGAGAAACAGCAAGACAGGGACACCCAGAGCACAGAGAGTCAAAGACAGAAAGGGCATGGGGAGGAAGGAGAATGGGAGAGGAGGGCAGAGGAGAGGAGGGGAGGGGGAGGGGGAAGAGAGGGGAAGACAGAGGGAGGGTGGAAAAGAGACGGAGAGCAGAATTGGGGGCACATGGGAAATACAGAGTTGGGAGTAGAAATAGACAGAGATTCGGGGAAAATGGAGGGGCCCAGAGAAACAGAAACACAGACACAGATAGGACAGGAAAAGATCACTGAGTCCTTGCAGGGGAAGGCACAGCCTAGGTGACCTCCCAGGTCAGACTGGGACTACATCCAGCCCAGGCCCCATCAGGACCAAGGCCTAGCCTCACTACCCGCCATGTAGAACAGAGATGCTGAAGCCAAGAGGAAAGCCACAGTCCTTCAGATCATAAAAGGTCCTGAGTCCTACTCGGCTTGGACTTTGACTGTGTGCTTGGATGGGGAGATGGAGCCAAGTATCCCCTCTATACCCCATTTGTTTCCATACCAGCCCTCATCCTCTCTGCTCCCTATCTGTAAAGCGGGGACTGCAGCAAGGGGCACAGGACTTTCCTGCCCGGAGGAGTGCTGAAGCCCCTCCCCAGCCAGCTCCCCCTGAATGTGAGGACTGAAGCCCCTCCCCAGCCAGCTCCCCCTGGATGTGAGGACTGGAGCCCCTCCCCAGCCCGCACCCCCTGGATGTGAGGACTGGAGCCCCTCCCCAGCCCGCACCCCCCTGGATGTGAGGACTGGAGCCCCTCCCCAGCCAGCACCCCCTGAATGTGAGGACTGGAGCCCCTCCCCAGCCAGCACCCCCTGAATGTGAGGACTGGAGCCCCTCCCCAGCCAGCACCCCCTGAATGTGAGGACTGAAGCCCCTCCCCAGCCAGCACCCCCTGGATGTGAGGACTGGAGCCCCTCCCCAGCCAGCTCCCCCTGAATGTGAGGACTGAAGCCCCTCCCCAGCCAGCACCCCCTGGATGTGAGGACTGGAGCCCCTCCCCAGCCCGCACCCCCTGAATGTGAGGACTGAAGCCCCTCCCCAGCCAGCACCCTCTGAATGTGAGGACTGAAGCCCCTCACCAGCCAGCACCCTCTGGCCTGAGACAGGGGCTCTTGGGACTCAAGTGACCCCAATAACATCAGGGCATATCTATTTACCACTTATTGGATACCAAGGGTATACAGACTCCCGGTTGTATCACAGCTAACCCTCACCATCATCTGGGAGCTAAGTGTTGTCACTGTCCCATCTCATGGAGTCCATGAGGAGCCTGCCTCAAGTAGCACTGTGAATAAATGGCTTCCTGTGGGAGAGGACAGAGCTGCCTGCCTTCCTCCAGGAAGCCACCCACATCCTTGCCATCCTCCAAGTGGCCCCTCCAACCTCTACAGGCTTCTCTCTATCATGATACCTGAGGTTCTGTATGTCTATGTCACCTGTCAACCCTTCCTTCCCAGACTGGGAGCTCCTTGGAGAAGGGCAAGGCCTAGGTCCCTGCTCTGTCCCCAGAACTCAGCTCATCTTTCCCGGATGTTCTGTTGAAAGTTAGCTGATGCATAGCCAGTGATGAAGAATGAAATCTGAGCCCTTCTTTCTTTCATCCAGAGTTTCTTTCACTCCAGAGTCCAAGGCCCCAGGCTCCCCAGGAAATCACTGAAGCTACATCACATCAGGCGTGACTCAGGCCAGCAGCCAGCCTGTCCCAACTCCTCAGTCAGAATGCTACTCAAGGGAGCCAGGCTTGCCTTTGTCCACCACCAGGAAGCTAGAGAACTCAGCCTTTATGCTTGGGGGGAGGGGTGGGGAACACAGCTCTCCCAGAGGCCTGACCTCCATGGGTTATGCTGAGGCAGAAGCCACAGGCAGGCAGGACAAGGTAGACACTGGAAAGCAGGGACAGGAAGTTTTGCCTCCATCCCCTGGCCACAGACAGAGCTGCAGGGAATCCAGAGTTTAAAGACTTTCCCAGGCCTCCACCAAGGCCAACCTCCTACCCTATATCTTGCCGAGGAACAAGCCCCATGTAGCCAGTCAAAGCATCTTGTCCGCCCCGGGAAAAATGGGGACCAGATGGAATCCCTGGGGAGCTCCATTCTGGAGCTATAACCCCATCTAAGGGGATGAGAGAACGCGTTCCTGGGGATGGGGCAGCGAGAGACAAGCAGAATCAACGGGAGGATGCTAATGTCCAGGGATGAGACGTGAAGGCAGAGGGTGTCATGGATGCTCCCAGCCACAGCCCTGATGAGCCCCTTCAATCACTGGCTGGTTGACTGCATTTAAAATATGCCCTCCCTGGGGATGGATTGCCCGCTCCTCTGGCTGCCTCCTGCCTTGCCAGGCTCCTCCAGCCCAGAGGGCTCCCTGGGGAAAGCCCATCCCACCCCTCCCTCCCCACCCAGGCCAAGTGCCACGGTCCGTGGCCCCGAACTTTCCCTGGTACTTACTATGATGAGCAGGATGAAGTAGATGAAGTTGTAGAAAGAATGTGCGTCCATCACATAGTACATGATCTCCACCCAGCCTTCCAGAGTGATCACCTGCGGCAGGCATGAGGACAGGGCCGAGTCTAAGACACTGGGCCCTCCTGTGCACCAGGACTCAAGACACACCCCCAGCAAGGGCTGGGGTAGGGGACAGCATGGGTAAGGAAACCAAGATTCAGAGATGCTGCTGTCACAACATCACACTGCCAGGCAGGAGGGGAGCAGGGACTCCTGTCCTCTCTTGCTTAAAGGGCCGCCACCGGGGGCGGGGGCACAAGCTGGAGAGAGCCTTGGACTTGAGCTCACTAACTTCTTCAGTGCACGGATGACAGACCCCAGCAGAGCTGAGGTGTGGGTCAGCTGGCCATTCCCTTCCTTGTCCCCCACAATGCCCTCCAGAGACTAGGAGCCACCCGGGGAAAGACAGGCTAAGCACTGGGGCCTCCCTATCTCAGCCTCACCCTTGATTGTGGCAAAGCGGAGAGCAGCCTCCACCCTCTGGGCTGACCAACCCAGAAACCCAAAGCACAGTGCTTGGGCACGAGTTCAGCTGCCTCCAAACTGAATCTCTGATGTGGTCCTTCCTGGGGTGGAGTGGGAACCCCCTGCCCTCCTCCGCCCTTCCTTCCCTCCTTCCCCTGAGGACAGCCCCTCACTGCACAGGGACTGCCCCCCCCCCGCTCACAGCACTGGCGTGCGGTCAGGACCCGAGGGAAGGAGTCTGCTAGCACAGTTTGTCCAATATGAAGAATCCACTCGGTATGAAGAAGAGAAAACTGAGGCACAGACAGGCCAACAAGAAAGATCCCACGTGTCCTGCAGCCCTGGTTTCCCAAACGAACCCTGCTTAATCCCCTCAAGAACACAGAGATGGAGTTGGTTCAGGAGCCGCAATGTTCTGCACACGGTCATCACGGGTGTACACGGTCATCAAGGGTGCATTGGTCACAGGATGAAAGCACTTTCCACACAAGCCAGTCAGGCTCCGCCAAGCCCGGCCCCAGGTGCCACCCGTACAGAAACGACCTTCCTTACCGCAGTGAGCCCTTGCTTTGGCTCAGCCCAGCCCTTCCAATGGAGCCGTGACCTGCCTCTGCCCTCTGTGAACAGAACCCCCTGCTCTGACTCAGCCCACACGGGCATCTATAAGGAGCAGAGGCTCTGAGGGAGCCCGAGCGCATTGATTTGCTTTGGTCACCACAGACTCCTTGGGCAACAGGCGTGTTTTCTTCCTTCGAACCTTGGTTTCCCACCTGCAAAGTGAGCGGGGTGAGGCCGCATCTCAAGCAGCGGGCGACAAACTCCGGCTCAAGACTTTGCCTGCTGAGTGAGGTTTGCCAGCCCTGCCACCCGCTGCTGGCTGCTGACCAGCCCTGGGCCTGAATGCTCTCACCTGGAAGATCACAATCCAGGCATAGCCGATGTTGTCGAAGTTGATGGCGCCCTTGTGAGGGTTGGCATTGCCTGTGCGGCAGACATTGTAGTAGCGGTTCCAGTTGACGCAGAGGCCGCTGGCGTTGAGGTCTTGGCGCCCCGCCCCAAAGTCATACACATCATCTTTGGACAGGCAGCATTCTCGGCCCTGCTCCTTCAGCGGGGGGATCTCATGGCAGCCCATGATGCCATTGTCCCCCGACAGGGAGCAGATAAAGGGCATCTCGTCATCCTCCTCTGGCTGGTAATAAGGGGGCAGAGCCACATCCCCTTGTCTGCCATAGAAAAGAGCAGTCAAAGAACAGCAAGGGAGGACCACGGCCAAGGGGTGCCAGGCAAAAAAAAAAAAAAAAAGGCCATGCTGTAGCCAGATTAGTGCAAGGCCCCATCACTGCCTCCGGACCCAGGAATGTGTAGTCCCTTCCTGAGACACTTTCCCACTCCTGTTACCATCCTTATTCATGTTCTCCCCTTTGAGGAACCTCCCCTGGAGGAGCCTGTGCTCCACAGAGCTAAGCCAGGGCTCCCTGAGCTACACTGTGGCCTGGCACAGTCATCACCCAGCTACCTGGCTGGCCCAGGCCACACTGTTTGAACAGGACAGAGCTCAGCTAGCAGCCACTGGATTTTTCTGGACAGCCTGTGAGGGAGTGTGTGGCCCTGGACTGGTCTCTTCTTTCCTTAGACATGAATTATCTCATCTATGACATTTGATCCATTGTGATTTTATCTAGGGAGCCCAGATAGATGGTTCAAGGAAAATCATCCAGGCAGGATTTAAAAGTAAAAAGATAAGTGAAAACTAGCCTTGCAGGAGAGGACTCTAGGACTAGTCATGTGCCTAGTGAGGTATTTTACAGAAAAGGGGCCTTAATGGGGACCATAGCATAGAGACAGACCTGTGTCTTAAGGCAAACACAGAAGCCAGCACTCGGGAGGCAGAGGTAGGAGGATTGTGAGTTTGGGGGCTAGCCTAGGATAAGTGTTGAGTTCATGGTCAGCCTGAACTGAATAACAAGATGCCTTTCCTTCTTTTATTTGTGTTGTTGGTTGACTGGTTGTTTGAGACAGGTCTCATGTAGTTCAGGCTATCCTTGAGCTTTCTATACAGCTAACAATGACCTCAAATCCAGATCCTATGATTTCTATCTCCTGAGTGCTGGGATCACAGGTGCATGCCAGCATGCCTGTCTGGAAATGCTGTGTCAAAAAAATTAATTTAATTCAATTAAATACCAAAAAATAAGGAAAAAAAGTAAGCAACTTTAGGATGGTGATGGCACATGACTTTAATCTCGGGAGGCAGAGGCAGGAAGATCTATATAAATTTAAGACCAAGCTTGTTGGTCTACATAGCAAGTTCCAGGACAGCCGAGAATACACAGAGTGACCCTGTCTCATAAACAAAAGCAAAAACAAAAGCCAACAAACAAAAAACAGCAAACGGAAACAGCACCAACATTGCCCCCTCTCCTACGAATGGCCACTCAAGGCTTTGTACGGAAGTGTGTGAAGCCTGAGTGTGAGCAGGCACTGACACTGTTTGTGGGAGTATGAACTGGACCACCCTGTAGAAGACGATTCATCGACACCCTTTAACAATCCAAAGGTCACAACCAGCCCAGAGGCTCACGACCACCTGCTTCCACTAAGACATCACCTTGATCCAATGCAGAAAGGCCAGGCCGTGCCACACAGGGTTCTGGGAAGACTGAATACACATTAAATAAATCAGCCCTGACGTCACTACACCCATCATGGACCACATGCAAAATTCTTTGTGATAGAATAGGCCAGACTGAAAGATGAAGCCGGAAATCTTTTGAGAATGTTTTTCTGACCTCAGGCTTTCAGATTAGTTCAATATATTAGAAAGCTGAACAGGATCGGGGGCCAGGTTTTTGCTGCTCAAAAGCACCATTAGCAGAGTTAAACAGCCACTCCTTGGGGCTCTTACCTATGAGAGTGTTCAGTGAGTGAGCGAGCACATTGCTATTGCTTATCCAATTGTCAATCTGGGTCATTTCTGGATATGGGGCCCTTATGACTCAGAACTACTCTTGTCCACATGCTTGAGTGGGCACAGGTCACCCTTCTTTTCTCTTGGTGTGTGTGCGTGCATGTGTGAGTGTAGGGGGGATGGAATTTGGTTTTTTAACCAATGCTGACTTCCTAAAGTCTTTCTGCCAGAACACCCTGAGCACAGGGATGGCAGGTGTGAGCCACCATTCCTGGCTAAGGCTCACTGGCTGTCATTTTCTTTTCTCTTTGCTGTGCTAAAGGCTGAACCCGGGAGCCTCATGCATGCCAAGAGAATGCTTTGCCAGTGGAGACACACCATTGGCCCCAGCCCGCAAGCCTGTCTTCCGAGCAAAGCCCGGGATACCCCTGGCAAGCCAAGGGTGGGTTTAGCATTGGGTCTATCCGGCCTTCCACAATGAATCCTGAAGTTCCACTGAGACCTCCCTGAACACAGCTGAACATACATTGCTTGTTCTATGTCTGTGGCAATAATGGTCATTCTAATTTAAACCATTCTGGTGGGGTGCCATAGTACCTCACTGCCATTTCAATTACAACTCCCTTAAGACCTGGAAGAAGGGCCTCTTCAAATACGAATCCACCACTCCTGTAGCCCCTCGAGAGGTCTCTGGTAAGGTCTTTTGGACCATTTTTAATTAGAGCATCTTTGGCTTTCCTATCGGTGTACAATCATTCTTTATATGTTCTGATTTGAGTTCTCTGATGGATGCATGAATTGCAAAGCTTTTGTTTCAGTCTGGTCTTTTTTGGATTTAATCACTCCTGCAAACCTACAGACATCTTAAAGTCACAATTCTTAGAGGTTTCCAGTTAACTGTGGACATCAGCCCAGATGGGAGGTGCCGTCCCTGGCTCCACAAATGACGGACAGAAGAGATCTGGGACTCAAGGGTCAGTGCAGTCGGTGAGGGGCGATGAGCTCTCCCCATCTGGTAGCTGATGACCACTTGTCACTGCTGCAGACCCTTCTGCCAACCCTGTGGTTCTTCTGCCAGTCCCACTCCATGAACATAGAAACCCCAGGGCAGCTGTGTGGAGGCCAGCCTGCACCTAGACACCAGTTCAGATGACCAACCAGTAACATGGACAGCCCAGCCCATTCCCACACTTGCTACCCAGAACCCTCCCTCCACTGTAGTGTGGCTGAGCCCCTCTCCTGGGGATCTCAGGGCTCTGCTGCTGCCAGCCTTGGTTGGCCAAGTGCTTGCCTTGCATTGCATAAGGACCTGAGTTCAGCTCCTCAGCACCTACATCAAAACTGGTCATGGTGACATGTGCCTATAACCCCGTACTAGGAGACGGGACGTGAGGGCTCCTGGAGGCCAGCCAGTCCGGCCAAACCTATCAGTTCTAGTTTCAGCGAGAGACCCTCTCTCAAAAATAAATAAATAAATAAATAAATAAATAAATAAATAAAGAGGAGTATAATCAAGGAATACCCCCAAACGTTGGCCTCTGGCCTCTACACACATGCACACATATGCACTGGCACATATACACACTCACACAAACCAACAAATACAGGTAGCATGCTTCCCCACAGGATGTTGGAAGGTAACTGAAGTGGCCCTGCTGTGCACAATGCTCAGCGTGTGCTAAGCACCCTGGGAATACCAGCTGTCTTTCTCCAGGACCAGATTCAGGCCTGCCCTGCCACTCAGTGCTCAATTATTATGGGCTGCCATCCATCAGCCGTAGCACCAGTCTCACACACACACCCATGATTCCAGGTGCCATTCTAGAACCTTCCCAATAAATGAATGAACACACACACACACACACACACACACACACACACACCAGGAACTTCCCAGGCTGGGGGAGCACCCATGGTGTCACACAATGGTTCACTCCTGCTCCGAGTTTCCTGGCATCAGACACTGTCCTAACGGTCCACGTGTTCTAATTTGGGGCATTCCCAAAACAACCCTGTTATAGGGAAACTGAGGTATGAAGTTGCTGAAGCCACATGGCTAGCAGGTGGCAGAAGCAGAAATTGACCCTGAAGTCCAGACTGCATTGCCACAGCCTTCACCTGCACAGCAGTGGTGGGAGGCTCTGTCACAAATTAACTCCTGCCTCAGCCCATGACTCAGGAGGCACCCATCATTCCTGACCTTTCAGGTCCAGGTCAAAGTTGCATCCTTAGATATCCCAAAAGTCCCCTCTTCTCATTGGACGTTGGTGGTGCATGCCTTTAATCACAGCACTGGAGAGGCAGAGGCAAGCGGATCTCTGGGAGTTCAAGGCCAGCCTGGTCTACAGATTGGGTTCCAGGACAGCCTCCAAAACAATACAGAGAAACCCTGTCTCAAAAAAAAGTCCTCTCTTCTCAGCCCAACACCCTAGGTCCCAGCACACAGTTAGTTCCCTGATCCTTCTAGGCTCAACACCAAGGAAAAAGCATGGCCTGACCCTGGAAATGGCAGGCAAACGTTTGTTATGATGCCCATACTCTGAGACTCCTACAAACCTGGCTCTGAGTAGATCTTTTCCCTCTCTGGGCCTCAGGCCCTGTCTGCGTAACAATGGCTTGGACTGAGGTCCCCGGACGGTCCAGTGCCCACCTGTGTGTTCCGTCTAGAAAGGGTCCTGCCCTCCCAGCCTGCATGGCTCATGAGCGGCTGGCTAGGGGCTGGAGGAGTGATTTGAAGACTCCAGGTAACAAGCTGATAGGAAAACAAGATAAGAAAACCATTGGGTACCTGTTGCTCTTGTCTAAGGCCAGGCCTGGCTCACCGGATTCTGAACTGGGGTCTGAGTCCCAGGAAAGACGCACCTCTTTGCAAGCCTTCCTTACCAGCTGCTCTGCAGCCTGCTCTGAGCCAGGTCTTCTGAGTTAAAGTCTGACCTGAACTCTCTCTATGGGGTCTACAGACCCGGAATAACCTTGGACTTGCTCTCTGCCAGACCTGGAATTCATCAGCCTGAAGTACGGTCATCCTCTATCCCCTGAGGCCCATAAGGCCACCTGCCCCGAGCATGGGCCTCAGAGCTTAGGAGTCACCTTGCCAGCTAGGTCTTGTCCCTGGCTCCTCTCACATTTGGAATTCCTCTTCCAGGTGGGCCAGCTACACACTGGCCTTCGGTAACACTGAGGCCCAGGCATGTCCCCCATCTCCTCTCCTCACAGCCAAGGCAGGACGGGAGCCACCTCTCAGGGTCTGGACAGGACAAGGGAACAGCCAACCTCCAACCAGCACATAGACTCCTCCTGCTGCACAGCCAGGGACAACCAGCCTTCTTCCCAACCTGCCTCTGCCATAGTGTCATTCACTCATTCACTCTCCCATTCATTCATTCATCTGTTCATTCATGAGCTCATTCATGCTATCATCTTAATTAGTCCCTCATTCGTTCATTCTCTCATTCATTCATAGTGAAAAATTAGAACCCTGTTCCAGGTCTTGAGAAAAGAGTGAGGACCAAATATTCCTAGTTGTAGGGGAGAACTCACATCCTAGGGTCCCCCCAAGACCAAGTATGCAACTGCTCCAGGGACCCCCCCCAAATACTTGTGCTGATAAATGGGATCACTACGGGGGAAGATCGGCCAACAAGGAAGTTTAGCAGATAGTGACATGAAAGCTGGGCCAGCCACAGAATGCTGTTAGGAAGACCCATACGGTACAAAGGGGGCACAGACATGCTGGGAACCCCCAACACCAAGAGTTCACACACATGCTACTCTTGGAACAGTTCACACACATGCTACTCTTTGAAGAGCTCGCACACATGCTACTCTGAACTCTGGCTCCTGCTGAACACCCATGTAAGTGTAAAAGCCCCTCTTTCACTATCCATGGGGCCCTCACCCAGTAAGGTGTCCCTTCCTGGCCTACCCTCTCTCTTCCTCTCCAGCCTTCCCAAATTGGCCATTCTTACTATCTCTTTCTCTTCCCTTTCCTTGTTCCTTTACCTTCCCCCAATAAACCTTCCACATTAAAAAAAAAAAAAAAAAGATGAGGTAGGGAGCTCACACGGTGAAGTTCTCCTCCAGGAAGCAGCGGTTCCGCAGCAGGCCTGCCCAGAGCTGCACGCCGATGATGCCGAAGATGAAGAAGACAAAGAAACAGAGCAGAAGCACGTTCCCCAGCATGGGCAGCGTGTCCAGCAGGAGGTTCACCAGGATCCGCATGCCTGAGAGAAGAGCGGCGGAGAAGCAACAGGAGCAGGTCAAGAATCTGAGGGGTGGCAGGGGGAGAGATGGAGTCTCCGGCTCCAGCTGGGATTTGCCAGAGGACTCCTCCGCGTCGGTCCCTATACCCACAAGGCCAGAAAAATGGCTCTGGGCCCTGATGCACTTCCATAAGATCATGGGTGAAGCAGCAGACCTTTATGGAGCCTTTTTTTTTTTTTGGTAATGAGTGTTACAGGGACAGCCACAGATAGGCTCTCCTTCAGCCCTCACAGTGACTGCAGAAGGCTGACAACATTATCTGTTTTATATAGGAGATTCAAAGAACTGACTGGAGTCCCACAGCTAAGAAGCAGAAGTTTAAACTGTTGCCTGGTAGAGAGTCTAACCCTCTTCCTGTGACCAAGCCTTTTACCCCCGTGCTTGCTCTTCTGGAAACAATGGACAAGTACCTATTCATCCGCCAGCCCGCTGTGGAGCTGTCCAGACCATTTCTCACCCAAGAGTCACTCCCCTGCTCCAGGCAGTCTCAGCAGCTCCTAGTCAAGGCTGCCTTAGGATTGTATGTTACACAGTCCTAAGAGGTCTTATTTGCATCAACATCTAACCCTAATGAATATTCATCTGTTTACCTTCCTGTCCTGTCTACTGGGCTGTATGTGCCCGGGGACAAGGTCTATGTCTGAGTCGCCTCAGCATCCCCAGAAGCCATCAGGGCCTAACCCAGAAGATAGGCTTCATCGGTGTTTGTTGGATGACTGCTGGTGAACAAGAGTGGAGAGGAGTGGAAGGTTGGAGAGGGGAGGAGTGAAGAGTGAGGACAAGCAGGAGAGTTGGTCCTGTTGGGTTTTGATTTATCCCAGTGTGATGCTGAGGTGGTTATTAATGAGGATAATTATCATGGATTTGCATCACGAACTCAGCGTGGAGTGATTTCCAATCAATAATTAATGTCCACCCCCGTCTTCCCTCCCCACAAAACTAGGTCAGCGTCCACCCAGGAAAAGCAATGGGGCTCGCTGGCGGGCTGTGTCATCCAACAGGGCCAAGGCTCAGCACCCCACTGCTCTACATCCGCCCCCCCAACATGGGAACAAAGGGTGTACACTGGCGGAGACAAGGCAACAGAACAGGTCCTCACACGCTCCCCAAAATGGATCAAAGGACTTAAGTTAGCCAACTGCAGGCCTTTCTGGGACTGCAACCATTCATTCATGTATGCATGCTTGCACGCATACGCCAAGCAGCAGATTGCCAGCACAATGCTGAGACTTCCCCCTCAGAGCTCACGTCACGGCCCAGCAGCAGGGGCCAGGGACAGCAGTGTTGAGCAAAAGGACCACTGCCAAGGATGCATCTGTAGGGAGGATGAGGTGGAGGTGGGCCCTGAAGGATGTGAAGGATCTGCCAGAGGGGCTGAGGGGAGAAAGGCCTGGGGTTACTGTGGAGGGGTCCAAGGAGTTGCAGGGAAGTTGCGTAGATGACTAGTCAAAGGCCTGTGTCACTGTCACCAGCAGATCTCTGAGCAGACACAGCCCTGGAGTGCCTCTGGGCTCTGGGAAGTACAGTCCTAGAGACCACACAGGGACAGTGGATGGAGAGAAACCTGGACCAGAACTACCCTGAGGAAGCTGCAGGCTCCTCTCACTCTGAACACTGCCCGAGACTCACTGACACTCACTAACTAGCAACGCGCCAGCCTGGCTGCTCCTGGCTGCTCCCAAGGGTGGCCTTTGTTGCTCAATTAATTACATTTCCCTTGTTCTCCAGGATATTGAAATTCTGAGCTGCCAGTTACTTTCCCTGAACAGTAGCCCTTTCCCTCTGTTTCCCCTGCCCAGGGGCCCAGCTCCCCTCACAGGGTTCCCTGGGCAGGGGAGTCTGGGGGGCTACAGGGGCAAGGTGTAATTAGGTAATTAGGAATTTAGCACAAATTGAATTCATCCATGGCTGCCCAGGGAGTTGGGACCACAGGATTAGGAGTCAGGCAAGGCCCTGAGGAGCCTGGCTAAGCCTTCTTCACATACTTGGTGTAGGAAGTAGTCAAGACCGGGAGGACACTGACGCTCTTCCTCCGGTGCCCTGATGCCAGGCACATGAGAAAGAAGAGGTTGGAAGAAGCAAAAGAGAAGCACAGACAGAGCAGTAGAAAGAAACGAAGATGGGCCGGGCGGTGGTGGCGCACGCCTTTAATCCCAGCACTCGGGAGGCAGAGGCAGGCGGATCTCTGTGAGTTCGAGGCCAGGCTGGACCGATAGCCTCCAAAACAATACAGAGAAACCCTGTCTCGTAAAACCAAAAGAAAAAAAGAAAAAAAAAAAAAGAAACGAAGACGGTGGGGGGGGGATGAAGACATGGGAGAGAGGGACAGAGGGAAGGGTAGATGAAGGAGCCATCTTCAGACTTCTCTATATGCTCTTGCTCCTCCTCCAAGCAGTCTCCCTGGGTTCTCACCATTCCCAGTCAAAATTACCCATCCTCAACTTCCGCTGCTCCCATCACACGTTCCCTCTCTTAGGCGGGGCTTACTTTGGGTTAGAAGCCAGGTGGCCCTTGATGGAGTGAGGCTGTCAGTGGCCCCAAGAGTGTAGCTAAGGACCTGTTCCCCAGCCAATAGGAGATAGAGGACACAGGACACCTGATGTAGACCTGTCCCTGGTGGCAGCCAGCACAGACCAGATGAAGAGGTCCTAGTCCTAGCTGGATAGCAAGTCATACTCCTCTGGGGCCACAATGGCTATAGTAGCCTTATTTATAGGCAGGCAGTTCCCATGTGCACACATGCTTTTGATTCAAGAGCTTACATACACACTTACACACACACACACACACACACACACACACACTCCCTCCCTCTCTCCCTCCCCCCTCTCTGTCTCTCTCTGTCTCTCTCTGTCTCTCTCTCTCTCTCTCTCTCTCTCTCTCCTCCTCCTCCTCCTCCTTCTTCTTCTTCAACTCAGCCCATAGCCCACTCCGAATGTTCCTATCAGGCCATCCCTGGGTCCACTCCCAGAAGCAGGCCTGCTCACGCCACTTTAGACCCCAGCTTCCTGCTTACCTCCTGGCCAGCACATACTCAGAAGGGCATCTCACTCCTTTGGTTCTCTCTGTCCTGGGGTCTCCTCTTCTGGTCCCTGGGAATGGGCTGGTGCCTGACCTGAGCCCACTCTTCCTGAGTCACGGCGACTTCCATAGGTTCAGAGCTCCACTGCTCTGAATCTAACTTCTGGACCCAGGCAAGTCTGCATGCAAGGTGCACATTCCGCAGTCCTGCCTGGGTCCTGCCCAGAGCAACAGCTCAGAGAACGAGCGGCTGATGGTAGGGGCTGGAGGGATGACTCAGCAGTCAAGAGCACTGGCTGCTCTTCCAGAGGACAGGGTTTGATTCCCAGCACCCACATAGCAGCTCACAACCGTCTGTAACTCCAGTTCCAGGAGATCTGATACCCACTCCTGCCCTTCATAGGTATCTGGCACACCACACACACACACACACACACACACACACACACACACAGAGTGCACAGACATGCATGCAGGCAAAACACACATACAGACGAAAATAAACTTTTAAAGAAAGATAGAGTGGTAGGTAAATAGATTTTCCCCCTCCAAGGCTACTAACAAGAAACCTGACACCACCATACATTGCTCTAAGTCCCAGGAACTCATCAGCTTAAAAAAAAAAAAAGAAAAGAAAAGAAAAGAAATCAAACCAGATGAGGCCAGATGTGGTATGAATAGTTGCAATTCCTCTACTTAGGGCAGCTGAGGGGGTAGGTGGCCTCAAGTTTGAGGCCAGCCTGAGCTACAGAGGAAAAACCCATCTCAAACATTAACTAATTAATTAAACTAAACTAAAAAAAAAAACAAAAACAAAGCTCCATGCCCCATGAAGCACACTTGTTCTCAAGCCTGATGCGTGTGTACATCTGCCCGTTTGTCCAGGGCACTAACTGTGAAGCCCTGTGAACCAGGAAAGAGTTGGGGCCGCCAGTCAGGATCAGGGGACTTCTGGGCATGAAATGGGGACCAGAAAAGCAAGATTACTCTGAGCAAAGTGGCAAAGGAAGTGAGGAGGCGTGTCTGCACTGCCGAGCTTCGGGCAGCAGGAGCAAAGGTCTGGAGAACAGAGCAGGCCAGGGCAGAAGAGGCCCCTGGGAAACAGCCCACAGGATCCTGGGTAAATGCCCAGTGAATGCCCCATTGCACGAGCTCCTGTCTTTACGGAGGACAGGCTCCTGGGCTCTGTGACCAGGAGGGCAATGGTGGCCACACAATGGCTTGGGTGGGACCCACAGGAGTGGACTCCCTGTCCTCAGCCTCACGGCTGAGGCTGCCCCAGACACTCTAAGCCTCCTCCGCAGCTGTCAGCGCATCTGATGCCTCCGCCCCTGCCTGGCCATGCTTGCCCTCCATTGCAGTGAGCTACAGGACAGCGGTGCCAGGTGTGGATGACACAGAGGGGTGTGAAGACACGGGGAGGATTCTGAAGATACTGGGAAGGTGGGACCCAGAGATGAGGCATAGGATGTGGGAGGAGGGAGGGAGTCGGGTACAGATAGAAGGTTTGGGGTCACAGAGCAGCTATCAGTGGAGATGGGAATCTAGACATGTGGCATTTGGGGGGCCTCACTGTCCATCCTCACAGAGTTGCTTCATTGGGCTCGGAGTAGTGTGGGGTTCAGGAGAGAGGGGTCTGGCCTAGGGGCGTGACATGAGTAGCATCAGGGGAGATGGTCTAGATGACATCAAAACTGGTACCATGGTGGCAAATTCCAGGCAGGGAAATGAATACAACAGCTCCACCCCAAGCCTGAGAGATGGAGACCCCAGAGCAGACCCTCTGCTTCAAGAGAACCTGGGAGGCCATGGAGGCCATGGCAAGAAGGAGCTACACTTCCTAGCGGGCATCTCCTCTCCAGGCCCAAGGTGCTCCACAGACAGGAGCTGTCAAGCCAGATTAGCCCGGCCACTCTGCCAGGCCAGTTCAAGCAGAAAT